TCTCCCTCCTCTCTCCCTCGTCTCTCTCCCCCTCTCTCTCCCTCTCTCTCTCTAGCTCTCTCTCTCTCTCTGTCTGTCTGTCTCTCTCTGTCTCTCCCTGTCTCTCTTCTCAGCCAAGGGTGAATTGTGAGTTACGGCAAAGGGTCAGTAGTTTGCCAGACGGGAACGTTAAGACGACAGCCGAGTGTATAGGGAACCTTAGGCGTCCTTGTGCGTAAAAGAACCCAACGAACACACTTAGCCACCAATGTCGGGCTAATTATGTCCTAATTAACTCTAGTCTTTGTTAGAATGGTAAATTTCATTGACAAAGACTGGAGTTGAACAGTCGGAAATTTGGGTGAGTCCAGTTAATTGTGTTGGCAATTACAGTTCAAACTTGTTCATAATGACTTCTACCAACATAGATTAATTTTCAAGATTAGGTCGGGAGCAGCCTGGAAAGATTGAATTAAGTCACGCTTCATTTCTATTAAGTTAAACTTGAGTCAAATTTGCCCCCCACCCGGACAACGTTGACCTCTTTCCAAACACGAATTTGAGTTAAATTTGAGCCACATTGACTGACAACCACGCTCACTGCTAACCTATTTCCGACTACCAGCCGACAAGTTCCCAACCATGGCCCAACCCCCGTCCGGATCCGGAGCCGACGATGTAGGGGCTGAAAATAGTAGAAATCGACCAAATAGAGAGATAACATGCCAGGGGAGTTTTTCTGCAGGAGAGAACAGCGTGGGGTGCGGCAAAATGTTCTCTCCCAGCAGACCAACTCCCCTGGCATGTTATCTCTCTATTTGGCCGATTTCTACTCTTTCCAGCCGCCTCCCGAAGCCTGGTAGAGGCTAGTCAGGGGCTTCAGCAACTCGAATGGCCCGTCAGCCATGCCACTGGCCGCACACAATGGCCGCATCCCCTCCCCACACAATATAGTACAATAGACTACAATATTCAGCACACAGTCTCCGTGTAACACAATACTCGCACGGTAAACAAAGACACAGCACACCTCTGCTCTTGACTGACCGAAAATATGTAAAGAATGGACTTACAAGAGTCACTCTACACTGTTTATGTACTAATAAGTAGGAGTCACATTAACATAGATGTTGTAGAGATGTCAACATGAAATGTGAAACGTAGTTACGACATAGCCTCTACGACAAGGCCTCTACAGTGTACAAACTAGCCTCTACCAGGCTTCGGGAGGCGGCTGGAAAGAGATGGGCCAAATAGAGAGATAACATACCGAGGGAGTTGGTCAGCTAACCCGGGTGCGGCAAACTGTACTCTCTAGCGGACCAACTCCCCCGGCATGTTATCTCTCTATTTGACCAATTTCTTCTCTTTCCAGCCGCCTCAAACCTGGTATAGGCTAGTTAAGACAACGTATAAAGACCTGACCCTTCCCATTGTAAAAAAAAAATGTTTGGAGAGGTATTGAGTTTCCAACCCAATCATGTAGCACGTTCGCCAAGTAATGTAATTGCCCATGTAACACAGGGGCACACTGTTGTTTTGGCCCGCCTCGCATTAGACTTGGAGTCCGCGGAGGATGTTATCCATAAAATCTACTCACTGTGGCCTAACTGCGGACACACAAAAACAAACTAAACTTCCATACAATGATATAGAATACTGCATGCCTGAGCTCAGGCTATATTGGATATAATTTTTTGCTGAAAACTGAATAATTGTTGAAAACTCTGTTAAGCTAGAAGGATAGAGGATTATATTATGTATAGAAAACTGTGGTCAAGGTCGGAAAAAAATAGCAAAAGAATGCTAATAACATTATAAACCTGAGCTCGGGCGGGCTACATTAGATATAATTTTGCTACCATTGTTGAAGACTATGTTAAGGGATATTGGCTCTATAGGAAACTGTGAACAAGGTGGGTAAAAATAGCCGAGGAATGCTAATTGAATTCTAAGCCTCAAAACTGGGGTTCGGTGGGGCTGAGAGAGTCAATTATCGTCTAGTGTTGGTGGGACGGCCTCCGTAAATATTTTGTCTACGGTAAAGTGGGCTCAGCGTTGACATTGTAATGACAAAATTTTCCCCATGGCTGTAAGATCTGATGCGGTAAACATCGTTTTGTTTGCCCGGGTGAACCGATTAACCAATAACCCCTTTCAGCTTGCTCTTAATGATTCTTTATTGACTCAGCATATTTTTGTATTGTCTTCTACAACTAAAGATCTAACAAAGCTAAGTACATAAATATATAGGCAGAATTTGTTAAACGCAGAAAATAAAGGACTCATCTTGGAGCTTGTTTCTGCAGTTTGTATGAAATGCTGAATCAAATGTGCTACTGTAAAGCAGTTTATCACAATATCACGAGGACTGCATAATTTTCAAAGAACGAATATTTCCAGTTTTCCTGCCCTGAAATCGCATTGCATGCCTTTAATGTTGTCATCCTAAAACATCACATGGACCATTTGACTTCTCAAGATATTTTGACGGTGTGTATAGCTAGTATCGATGGTGACGTGGCGTTAAAAATTTCCGTGTTGGCTGTCATACATCGCTACCACCCATGTGGTTCTACACACAAAACCGGTTTGTGACGCCCAAAGGCGGTTTACCGGTTATGCGAAACAAACAAACAATAAGCCTCTTTGTAAATTCAAACGCACTGTCAGAACCATGGATGACATCAAAGGGGAGTGACAGAAAAAAAAGGAAAACAGCACCCATTGTTGACGTTTGGATTTTAAACATATTTGCTCAGCCAATTCCCATGGTCAAATAGATATGTGTAGATGGTTTCGATGCTCAAATATTTGTTCCCACTACACTGATGCTGTACGTATGTATGTTTTAAATTACGTACACAGATCACATGGTAGGGCACACCGCCATACTTTTGAATGTTCAGATGCACGGTCGCAAATTCGCAATCATGAATGAAAAGGCACAGAAAACAAGAGGTTTCCACGACAAACCTTAACGACGAAAACACCAAAGAATGTTGACGTCTTGCGTATATCATCTTATAACTATTAATGCTTGGATAATTGACTTTGATAATTGTTTATTTCAAAAATTATTTTTTTTTTTGCTGAAGGCCTGACTTCCCCAGAATTTGTGAAATGTAACTAACATTTTGTTTTGAAAAGTTTATGCTCAGGTTTTGATGGTGAAAGTGCCGTTAAAACACCAGTTAGCTGCAATACATTGCTACTAATGATGCGGTTAAAACACAACAAGCCTTTTGTATGTTCAGATACACGGTCATAATCATGAAAAGGAAACGCCAAGTGTTCCCACGAGAAAACTCAACATTAAAACACCGTAGAAAGTTTACGTTTCACTTTTAGCATATTGAAAGCAAATGACTTATGCATGGGCAATTGACTTTGATCATTGTTTACCTAAACAATGTATCATTTTAACCAACCTGACTTCTACAAAATTGTTAAACACATACAACCTGCACCCCCGTTGCAAATCTTAACAGAAAACATGTAGAGAATATAATCATTTCCTTTCTTCATTTGCCCTTTGCCCTATCGCGAGTAAGTAATAATCCACGGAGGCCATACGCCCCGCCAGGCCCTAGTCGGCACCCTGGCTCTAATTACTAGTATCTCCTTGTTACCAATAGATAAAAGGCTTGGGCGAATACTTTGGTGCCCCCCCCCACACACACACACACACAAACCAAAAAAATCTATCGCAACGCCTTCCTTACAGGTACCTTGTTTAAAATAATCTGAATTTTTTTTATCTTCTTGCTAGACAAAATTGACATCAACGTCTCTTTTCCCCTAGGGCGCACTCCTGAGCCTGTGCGAGGTGACCGGGCTGTGCCTGTTGACGGTCCGGGTCATGCCGTCCGTCACCCCCGCCCTGAGCGTGGTCCTGTCCAACGGGATTCTGCTCATCCCCATCTTCAGTCACATCATCAAGCAGACAATCGGGCTGTGGAAGCAGAAAAAGAGACGACAGTGTGGCCGTATTTGTCGTCTCGTGTTGTGGGTTGTCGGGGGGTTGACGTGTGGAGGACTAGTCGGTGTTTGGAGTTATTTCAGAACGGAGGAGTATGTAGTAGAAACGGTTGTCTCACTGATGTTTCTCTCCGCTGCATGGGCTCCGAAACTACAGGAGTATCAGACTGAAAGCAACCGGTCGTCAAAACCAGATCACACCAACAACTCGCGATGGAAAGCAGGGATTCTGAACAATTTCTTCAAACTTGTTTTCGTCCTTGTGGTCCCTGATGTCATGAGGTATGTTGGAGTACCGGATGTGTGTTTCTGGGTTTGGACCCGCGCGGAGGTCTATCAGCTCTTCACGATTCGCCACCCGGCTACAATCAGCTTTATCCTCAATGTTACCGCGAGCTTTGTGGGCTACATCCTCGCCTGGACGGCTTGTGCTATACGGATGGGCTTCTTTGGATTCGCTCTGCCTGCCTTTCTCAGCACCGTGGTTACAGGTAATGTATGAATGGTTTATTTCAGTTGACACCTCGCAGCCATTCGGCTGAATATTACGTACAACTTGCAAAATGTCTCTAACTAAACCACTTAAAAAAAAGTGTTACACATAGTTTTGCGAAAAATCTATATGATAATTAATGATCAGTAATGCTGTCTTTAGTGGCTTACAATCTTTGAATGAATTTTATTTCTGCAATTCTGATCGCAAAATGTACACATTTCAGCTAGCTATAGTCCACCAGTTCATATCTCAGATGGAAGCCCTTTTGAAGTTTGCTGTTATACATGCTGTACAAAGTAGATACATGTATGTGTTCAGAACATTTCATCCTACACAGACCAAGTACTCAAACAGCAACTTGTGTGTTTGTTTAAAGTTAAAATTTTTGGTCCAACGTTAACACAAAAAAGTTCTCTCACCTGGAGCTTTCGACCAGTCACTCTGGTCTTCCTCAGTAGGCTGACCCAATGAGGCTTGTCACTCGTGTATATTTTATGAAGATGAAATATTTTGACACAACAAAAGTACAACTAGTATAACTTGCATATTTTTTGTATATGACATATCAAAATGCATTTTCAGCAATTCTTATTTTCATCAAACCAATCTGCACATCTATGAGCTTAAACTTCATCAACGAAAACATCTGCGTGGATAAATACTTGGCGTGGGACACAGGTATATTGTATTGTACATTTTTTTTTATGTTTAATGTATTATATTTGATGTTTAATGTATACTATTTCATGTTAATGATGTTCATTATTGCAATTTGATTTGTATTTAATATTGTAATCTGTATTTATATTGTGCATGTTGTGTTTGGGAGGACAACTTGTAAAGGTGTCAACGCACCTGTTTTGTCCTCCCTTCCACTTGTATATCTGGTGGTAAACTGAAATAAACAAATAAACAAAACAGGAACGTGTCTGGGGCTGCTGCTGATCCAGTTCTTCTCGACCACGTTGTTCGTCATGAGGAGCCCAACTATCGTCATGGAGCAGGAAGCACAGGTGGGTAGAATGGGATATCTTTTCACCAGAATCGTGTTTATCTAGTACCGTAATCTATGCGCCTGACTAATGAGTAAGAGTAAGGTTCAGGTTCTGGATAGTTTTCGAGTATCCAAGAACGTAGATATTTGACCAGGGAGCAGTTGTGGATACCTACCTACCTACCTAGTTCCTTGACCTGGTCGTTGGGGGACAAGGTAGACATGATGATGGAGATCTGTTTCCAGACCCTTCTGTCTTTGCACGGCCAGCATTTTGGCCGTCCACCCTTCGATGTTATCTTGCGAGGTTTTGGATACACATAAACTATCCGTGCTTGAGCATGGGTTTGGATAGCGCAGTCTATACTGGTAACAAAATGAGGGCAATGAAAGAAATCTCGACCACTAATATCCCCAAATAATGCCTCTACTTGGAGAACAGTAACATCTTTTCTTTTCTTTTTAACCACTGCACTTTAAAATCATTTCTGTATTTGTGAGTATATTAAATCTATCAATCAATTAATTAGCTATTTCTAAAAAATTTTTTTGATGGTCCTCAGTAGTTAAATCAATAATTTCTCTGTCCTCAGTTGTTCTGGCTGCCCGGGTACAACAGTGTGTTCCCGGCCCAGTGGATGCTGCTGAGCCGTAAGAACAGGAACACGAAAGGAGAGGACTTCACCATCAGACGGAAGACCAAGCAGAACACCCACGTCTATATCTGTACAACTATGTACCACGAGGTTCGGTCATTCATTCATACATGTATCTTTTCTGTTTTGTACGTTTTGTTAAACAATCTTGATATTTTTAAGCATCTCGAGATGCTATGGAAAAATCTCAAGATGCTTAGAAAACATCTTGGAAAGATGTTGAGACCTTTAATTTTCATCTTAAGATTTTTTGAAAGACCTTGAGATTGTCATGAAAAATCTCAAGATTGTCTTATAAGGTCTCAATATTTCGTCCAAAATATTGAGATCTTTGAAATAAATCTTGAGATTTCCATTTTCAACGAAGCGCGAAGACCCCCGATGGGGGTCATGTTCCACTATGTAACAGAGAAGTTTGTGGCAAAAAATATTGGATATGTACCTCTAAACTGTAAACAGCCTGAGGCTTTAGTCCAAAGTGCTCTGCTCAGTCCAATAATAATCTGCTCGCTGTTCAATACTTAACGAACAACATTATTATCAATGATAGAAAAATGAAGAGTCATTTTCTCCATGGAGACATTAGAAGTACCAAAAAGAAACTAATCGCAAGTTTTATTCTGTTTAGTCGGAACGTGAGATGAAACAGCTCCTAACGTCCCTACATGCTACCTGACACGTCTGACCGTTTCCAAAAACCTGTTCAGTTGCTTGGGTAACTGTTTTTGGCGTATCTTATTACATGGATGCCTGACTTTCACCGAACTAATCGTACGTTTACGTTTTCCCCTGTTTAGTCGGAACGCGAGATGGAACAGCTCCTGACGTCACTACGTGCCTTGGCGGAGAGCCAGGTCGGTGAGAGAACTTTTGAGTCCCACATTTTCTTTGACGGAGGCTGCAGACAGAGACAACCGTCACAGTGGGCACTGCAGCTCTTCAGCGTCATGGAGAGAACACTGCAGAACGAGAACGGTAGGCATCTTACTGATATCAAGATACTTCTGACTTCTCGTTATAATACTAATAATGTATTGTTATCGACCACTGACTTTGTAATGTCCATTATAATTCTTTTTTGATACTTACTGCCGAAACAGTAAATGATTGAATGTATAAGTGCCGCAACAAATGTTGAATTTGTATTATGTTTGGATTGCAAACTACTACGTAGACGTATATTGTCAAAGGATAAAAACAGAATTCTCATAATTATTCTAATAATTAAGAATATTCTGTTCCGGAATTCCTGCCCCATACAACCTGGAATGGCCTTGACTATGGTCATGGATTACGGTTGTGATAATTTGTTTTTATTACGTCTTGTCTTGTATATATTGCCTTGTATATATTTACCTACGGCCATTCTGTAAGGCATGGCTAATATTATAAGCCACTGGGTAGTGCTACCCTGGTTATACAACACAGAAAATAAATTAATGAATTAAAAATAATCCGAGTATTCTACATTACTTTTTGGAGCACTAAGTAAAACTTTAGCCTTACGTTGTGTGTTTATGCACCAGACCCACAGGGTATCCTGCAGCAGTGTACCCGGTATAAGACACCCTACGGTCTGCAGCTCCAGTGGGACCTGCAGTACGGCAGTGGAGACACGGCTAGCGGGATGCAATTCACTGTCCACCTCAAGGACAATGTTCTGGTAAGTCTGTTTTCAAAGACGTCGCTATAAGATGATCTACCAAGCCATTTTCAAATTAAAGGGGGTTTCTTGTACCTCCCATTTTTAGTTCCATACATCTAAATTTCGTAATTTTTATATTATCTATTCTGCTTTCAGGTGAAGAACAAGAAGCGGTGGAGTCAAGTGATGTACATGTCCTACACCTTGGACTATGCAGGTAAGGAAAAACTGTAGCTACCGCATTTTTATCTGCTCTGTCATTTTCAAAAGCTTTATAATACTAACTGCATCCTTTATTATGTTTACCTTCTCAGAAGGAAAGCATGGCTCTTTACTCTTCCTCTTCTCCAAACAAATAAGGTCAATGACCTAAACCAGACGTTTGTGACCATGGTAACTGGTGTTGGGTTACACCATGTCGCAATTCTATAGCAGGAGTGATTTAGTATCCCATTACCTTATCTTATACCTTAGATCCTCCTACAACTACTTTTGCATCGGTCGACTAGTAGTTCTCACAGAACTTCTCCAGGTACTTCTGTTTTGGGCCGCAGCAGACATGTCTTCTAGTGTGTCGAACCCAGTTGTTTTCCCATCGCTTAGGATTGGAATCTCGTTTAGGGACTCCTATAACCATGACATTATGTAAATGTGTTTTCAGCCTATTTCCACCCCCTCGGCATGGCGTCCGGAGTAATCGCCGACACGGACATCAAGGCCACGTCCCGGTACGGGAACGACCCGTCTCACGGCGGGCACCACGCCAGGCTGAACGCCGTGGGGAACGGGAGCGGCACCTGCGGCTGGACGGCTGAGGACTCCGATATACATCAGGTAGATGTGACTTCGTGTGGTGTAATACATAATGGTTAGACAATGACAATGACAATAATGTTTATTGCATATCCATGCCCTAGTGTGGCTAAATGCACTACTTTAGTTACAAATGCACTACAAATGCACTACTTTATTTAGAGTAATTATATCGGAATCAAAAGGTTTTTTAACCCCTGACATGTCTCGATATAGTATCATAAATTTGGTAGTTACATGTATAAAGTTACAACTTTTGATCCAACACAAAGAAATTCACCAAGAGCTTTCAACCAGTCACTTTGGTTTTCCACAGTAGACTGACCCATTGTCGACTTTATAATCCAAAGAAGCCAGAGAAGTATGTAGATAAGTGACTTTGCAAAATCTCATTTCCAAGCCCTAAAAATATCACTGGATGCCTTTAAAGTTTTTTTTTCCTTTTTTCACAGCGTTTGCAGATCTATCTGGGAGAAGGCATGGTGGTGACGGGAGTGGTGACTCAGGGGAAGCACGGGAGTGAGGAGTGGGTGACCGGGTATCATCTGTCCTACAGTCAGGACGGGAAGACATGGGAATTCTACAAGGACGAACATGGCAGAAATGTGGTACGTTTTTATAGCCTGGTTAGCAAACCTATTATGGCTCCCGAGTCCTTTGCGGACAGAATGTAGGACTCGGGAGCTATAATAGTTTTTTTAACCAGGCTATTATTTTTTTTACCCCTTTGCCTATTTTTCAAAACCCAATGCCATTGTTCAAATTATTACACAACGTATAAATAAGGCCGTTGATACAAAATAGTAGGCTTTGCAAGTTCTATGTGTTTCTGTTAGTCACATCAGAGCTGAGTAAAAAGATGATAAGTAAAAGCCACTTCAGCAAAGCTTGAAACAAACGTAGAACGTATTCCTTGATGAAGCTTTGAATCTTGAGAAAGACGTACTCTTACATGTATATATATTATAGTTAGCTGGTAAGTAGGTATGTCTATTAAATTGTATTATACATCTGAGTTTTTATATACATTTTGTATATGTACATTATGAACGGTCATTGACCTCAACGTGGAGTAATATCTTACGGCAAAAATAGGAATCTTTACTCTGTGAAATATGTGTTCCAGAGGTTGGAAGGCAATGTTGATAGTGACACCCCCGTGCGACACATTCTGGACTCTAAGATCCAGGCATCGTACATCAGCTTCAACCCTGTGAGCTGGAACAACAGGATCAGTATGAGAGTAGAGTTGCTGGGGTATTGTGCAGCTGGTAAATATACACAGCCATATGTGCCATATTTTTGCTCATGATTATATATTAATTGTTAGTTTAAGTTACACAAATTACCCTGAAAACATCCTTAGTTTGACCAATAATTTTCACTAAGGAATAAAGTTTTTTTCAAGCGTAAGAAATAGTGTTAAAAATTCAAAGGCTTCACTATTGATTTTGGACAGAAATCACTTGGACAGAAAAGACGAAAAAACATATTCAGAAACTTAACTCTCCTTGTGTTCGAGCCAGTACTCATTTTTCTATTGCAGCCACGACACTGATTTATTCGAGTTTTACAAACATCAATGTTGCAGACAATCAAGCCTATTTTACCGTACGTGCACGCCTATCTTTAGAGCCAAAATTAAAGTGTCCTCTTTCCCTTTAGATTTGGACCGAGACAGCTACATCTTGGCCACCGACGCGGACATCAAGTTCTCCCCCCAGTCTGCTAAAGCTCTGATGGAGATCATGTCTACAGACCCTAACGTGGGCGCCGTGTGCGCCCGGACCCACCCACTAGGGTCAGGACCCATGGTCTGGTACCAGGTCTTCGACTACGCGGTTGGGCACTGGTTTCAAAAGGTGAGAAAAATGCAAACTGTATATTGATGTTGATGAATTGTTGATTTATTCATAAAGCTTTAGCACATTTGTGGAAGGATTGACATAACAGGTAACTATCGCCTCTTCAAGATGTCAAACCTGAGACCAGCTTGGTCAATTCAACACTCACTGTTATTATATTATATAGTAGTACTACTCAGTAGAACAAATGAGTTACTAGCCCAAATGGCAGCAGTTTGGTCTATTCCACACTGTCTGTGCATACCTGCTGATCACATGTATGGCATTTTTTTGTAGACTCAAGCGGTATAGCTTTCATGCACCACCAGAGTCTCAAAATGCTGATCATATAATCACACCACAATATCATCGAATGGCAGGTAGAACTAGCTAAAATAGAATGGCACATGTATACTGGCAATACATCAAATTGACAGTATCAGTGTTTTAAATGTTTAGCAATGTTTGTACCTGGCTCTTCAGGTGGCCAACAGTGTCCTGGGCACGGTTCTGTGTTGTCCCGGCTGTTTCAGTGTGTACAGATGTAAGGCTGTGAGGGACACTCTGGCCACGTACGCCTCTACAGTCAGCAAAGGGGAGGAGTTTCTCACCAAAGATATGGGAGAGGACCGATGGCTTTGTACACTCATGGTGCGACTTTTTTGTGTTCTCTTGTTGTGTATGGACAGTATGTTTTCATAGAATTTTAGTATTTATTTACTTATCTAATATTTGCATAAGGAACATGATCCGAGCTCAATAATGATTAAATTTGCTGAAATGCATTTAAAAAAAATAGGGGTATTGTTTGGTTTTGGTCTTTGAATAGTCTTACAGACGTTCAAGTAAGTTCTCCATTATATCAAATATAGTATTGACCACATCACCACCACTTAGACTTATTCATTGAGGGCTTCAGTATGTTGTGTATGCCAATAAGTACAGGGCAGATAGCCTCTACCAGGTGTCGGGAGGCAGCTGGATAGAGCAGAAATCGGCCAAATAGAGAGATAGCATTCCAAGGGAGTTGGTCTGCTGAACAGAACGTATAGCCGCTCTAGATTTTAAAGACTAAAGTGTTTTTATTTGGATTCTACAGGTAGAGAAGGGCTGGCGACTGGAGTACACGGCTGTGTCCGAGGACAGCACCTACTGTCCGGAGGAGTTTGACGAATTCTTTAACCAGAGAAGACGGTGGATCCCCTCAACTATCGCCAACCAGCTGGAGCTCATACGGAAGTGGGGAGGGGGGAAAATCAAGAGCGACTATGTCTCCAAGTTCTTCATTATGTACCAAGGCTTCCTGCTGTTCTCATCCATGATTGGCCCTTCGACTGTAATTCTGATTATGGCTGGTAAGGAACTGCTCATTTTTAGATATAATTAAGGCATCAAAATTGTCATCTAAAAAGCCTTGTTTCAACGTTGCAGCCACATACTTAATTAGCATTTTTTTTTAATTTTCAAAAATATTCAAAAACATGAAAATATTACATTGCTGATATCTGTGGCAGTTGGCAAGACGGTCGTAGATTTAGCTGGTTTATAAGTCAATATTACATTAAGAAACGCTGTATCTTATTGACTATAATTAATGATAATTTATATATTAATTATCAATGATTTTTCCTGGTGTTTCAGCCGGTCTGGAGCTGGTTGTAGGCAGTATTGGAGGCGGAGGAATCATCCCAACAGTTGTTGTGTTCTCCCTGATCTTCCTGGGGTACGGCGTGCTGTGTCTTTACGCCAAACAGGACACACAGCTCAAGGTAGGTTCACAATGTGAAAATGTAATAGTTTTTCAAGCTGTATCTCTATCTGTGTCTCTACTTGTGCAGCAAGTTTAACCTACCTTCGGTGCAACACACCATCTTCAGAGGTGGTTGCCAGGTAAAGAAAAGTACGTTCTCCATGTCAAATGCATTTTGATCATCACACGATACATAGGCCAACTTGAATGCAAATGTAAGCAAAATAAGATTGATATGCTGCCAACTAAACAGCCCAGTGAGGTCGCTACGTACATTGTATCTATGATAAAGTGTGCATGTACCGACACGGGTAGCATTGACTTCCTCGACGTGACATTGGACAACAAATAATGTTCTAAATAGGAAATACAACCTCTATAGATGTTTGGTTCTACCAATGCTACAAAATCAGTTTTAATTTCCAGGAAAATCCAATCAGGTCGAATCGGGCCGTACCTTAGAAACAGAATTAACATTAAAACAAAATTAACATTTAAATCATGACCGCCAGTTCTCCTTTGATGTGTAAAGTTTCAAAAAGTTTTTGTGACATCGTCTTCATCCTGTTGCATACAGTGGGCGAAGGTGCTGACGATGGTGTTTATGATAGTGATGGTGATGGTGCTGATAGGTCAGGCTCGGGAGATGGTCATAGCCTTCCAGAGTCTTAACGACAGACTCACCCAGCAGAACGCTAACCACCTCACAGACGCTGAGAAAAGTACGTTCTGCAATCTTTCAGATATATTAATCACTTAATTCAATTCATTTTTTTTATTTCAGGCAACGGCCCATATCAGAACATGAAATTAGAAAATACCAATACACAAAGATACGTATAATACAAGTATATACAGAAGATTTAAATACAATGTTAGGGAAGTTTAATGGGCGGACTGTTTGAATACCAGATTGGCGTAGTGTTTCCAGAAGTTGTAGATGGAGAATATGTCAGAGTGAATTTTGTCAGAGTTTTAGCCAAATATTACCTCATATTCGAGCTTGTCATAATTTTGCCTCATGAAATAAAGTTGACTAAAAATCTACAAAACATTGTAATATGCTTATTTTACAAAAGCAGTCTGATACGGCTAGTGTAGAAATGATTTCTGTGTTGTAGAATGTGATCTGCTTTGTATATTATCCATAACATAGTCAAGAATTGTTTTGATATGCTGCAATTTCAATGATGATTCTATATTGTATTATTTGCCGTGAATGCAATCCTTTATCAGAAAAGGTGATGGCATTTGGTGGAGGAAAAAAATAGACACACATGCTTCAATGAAATAGACATACCTTATCTAAGCAGAAATAAAATCTGTAGTTGATGTTGTTTAAGTCAGTTTCTTTTCCCGTAGGTTGTCTTGACTGCCGTGTTACTGGCTGTGGTGACTGTAAAACGTTGACCTGCGACGGGCCGATCAACTGGTCCAAGAACAATGTTTCAACATGGCTGATGGAATGTTTTGGCCCAAAAGACCAGTTTCACAACATATCTCGTCACTTTACACAGTACAGGTAAACATAAGTGCTCAATAAAGTTATCTCACTCGTGCTCAAGACTGGTAGAAAAATGAGCCTTTTTTGAGGAAGGAGATATTTCGTAGAGCATGTTCTGGTTCTATATGTCTTACATGAAATTATTTAATCTGTTATCGCATCCAATACTATCCTAATTTCTAGAGGAACTGATTGCATAGTATCAACCATGTCTTCCTATCCGTGACTTTCTGTGTGTGCTGTCATCTTTGTCCAGTCTTTTATATTACCCCCCTATTTTCACTGGCAGGAGACATATTTTCATATAGACATTTCTACCTTCTACATAATCTCTACATCAGCGTAAGTAACATTGAAAAGGACCAACAGAAGACAACTTTATCTGCACTACACAGAACTTAGAATGTATGTGGTATCACACTAAAACTATGAATTTGCGTCAAAAGCCTTTTTTAATCTTATTTTTTTTAGTGGCTACCAGTTGTCTCTGTTTGATGAACCGGTGTTCTGTGCCAAGTTCGCGGTGCAAAATGGAGACCCCGACAAGGAAAGGAACTGTAAACTCATCTTAAGAGAGTTTCTTAAGCTCAAAGACGAAAACGGTAGGTTGTTCTTTTATCTTATTTGTTATATGTGAGCATTCTGTTTTATTTATACAGGGTATATACACTTAGCGCAAAACCCCTGCTTTTCAGGAATGCCCTGTAATTATATAACAAGTGAAACATGAAAACAACGAAATCAACACATCCGGAAATAATATAACATCAGACGTACACTTTCTTGTGACCCAAATGAGGCACCCTAAGTAAGGAGCCAGAAGAGAAAACATTTCATTCTTTTAACGCTTTTGTTTCTTGTTAAAACTGATTTAGTCAAGAGTATATGAATGACAGCCATTAAAGATAGATAGATACATGTATGTGCCGCAAAAATGTGTAACTAAAATCAGAATAATATGATGTATTGTTTAAAGTTAAAACTTTAGATCCAACACAAAGAAATTATCTCACCTATGAGCTTTCGACCAGTTACTCTGCCTGGTCTCCTTGAATAGACTGAACCAAGGAGGCTTGTCATGTGGCTTCTTTGAGTCAACATTAGGTAAAGGTATCTGGTCGACGATGTTGGCCCCCGAGTTAAGGGTGATGGGCCCTGATGTAAATAGCCTCTTTCACCCCAGGAAATAGTCTTCTTCGGTGTTCGCTATTCTTACAGTGTCCAGTAATGTATTGTTCGTTGCTTCTCCAGTTCCAGTAACGAGTACGCCACCGACGACACCCCTGCAGCAGCTGCCTCTGCCGGTGAGCGTTATCTACTTCCTCAGCCTCGCGGGTCTGTTCGTCATCACGGCGCTGCTGCATCCGTCAGAGTTCCTCAAACTTCTCTACGGGTTCGTGTACCTGCTGAGTCTGCCGTCTGGATACATCCTGTTGACCATCTACAGCGTCTGCAACATGACCGACAGGTCCTGGGGTATGGACATATCATGAACTCTTCCATGTAAATAGTTGATGCAAAATAATGCTTAAAAATAAATAAATAATGCTTTATGCTGAGGTCACGTATTATTGTTTTTGGTCTGTGTGTGTGTGTGTGTTTCCGCACATTTGTAGTCATCATAACTTCAGAACGCCTTTATAGACTGTGCTGTTTTTGGTAGGTTGGTAGGTCGTAGGAAGACAGATGTCAAGGTCTAATATGTGTTTCCTGGTGGCTAGCCTTCATACTGCAGCAGAACACAGGCTTTCGAAAAAGATGAAACTTTGAAACCCTTTTTTTTGTTTTATGTCCTTTCAGGTACGAGAGAAATAAAGGTACCAGGTGTGGCCGTTGGAGGTAAAAGTGTCACCGAGATGATCTCAAACTTATGCAGAACTCTGTGCAGGTCGGTGCTAAAAGATACGTTTGGCAAAAGTAACCCAAACACACATAGAAATATAATTCTATTTTTCTATTATATGTTATATGGACGTTGTACATGTATGTATGTAATTTTGTCATTATGTTTTACTCTTCTTTATATGTTCTCGAGTAAAATCATAGAACTTTATTGACACAACAAAAGTACAGCGACTTTCGTAAGGTCTAAGACTACATGTAGACATACAGACAAATACATGGGTACAGCTGCGAAATTAAGCTACGTACAAAAATAGATGAGTTCTAAGGTCTAAACATTCTTTGAATCATATCAGCATTGTGCTTTTACCCAGATACTCGTTACATATATTTGAGTAAATGGAAGCAAAAGATTCACTGTATTACAAGAATTTGTTATGAACAGTAAATACCTTTTCGACTCAGCTGTTGCCGGCGAGAAGAAAGCAAGCAGCCGCCGGTAGAGAAGATTTCAAAGGATGAAGAAGAGACTGACGCGGACGAGAGCGAAGCAGAGGGCGAAGCAGAGGGCGAGGGCACTGAGAACCAAGCGTTGTTAGGTAAGAAATATCGCTGTTGTTGTTCTGAGTTATTGAGGTGAAGCGTTAGGAATTTGTTCTAGCAGGTACACTTGTACAATATGGCTCGCGTATCGCTTATCAATGGATATTATATTGTAGTGTCATATTATATCCCGTAAAATTTGACAGGCGTATTCAGTTATCTATGTATTTTGGTTTTACACGTTGTTCACTGCCACCCCCCCCCCCGGAAATTAGCAAATAATTACTTTAGGAGCAAGACAGTTCAGCTAATAAGTACATGAATAAATAGCACTCTGTTTACTGTGAATTTGCTACGTTGTATCATTGCTGTAACAAACTCGCCTGTAACATTGTTCGCCACCCTACAACCACTCTCACATAGGCATAGGCGTACAACGTTGCAAGCCTTGCGTTATTTTATCGCTACTTCCACGGCAAATGCTCCGTGGAACTTCATTCGCTAGTGCCCCCACTTCGAAAATTCTCAACAAAGACATGTCTTGCCACTTCCACCGAAGCAAATCACCCTTTCTTCCTCCATTCACCACCTCTTAGGAGGAAGTTCCACGCTGAAAGCTTCTTTCCAAGAACAACATCACTTTGGAATAAGCTACCTCGTGATTGCTTCCCCTAAACCCTTCAAGTCTAAGGACGGTCAACAAACATCTGTCCACTCTGGCTGTTCTGTAACCCAAAACATTTTAAGTGGCTCCCATGAGTCTTATTTTGTGGTGACCGTTGAGGTAAATTTTAAAAAAAAAACTGTCTTGACACTGAAGCATACTTCAAACCATTATCGTTAACATTGTTACGCATTCAATCATAGTTTTTGTTCTTCAAAGGTGTTATGAAACCCGCACCTGCTAATAAAAGCAGTTTGTGGGGCGGGTCTGGCAAAGACTCGGTCAGAAAGCAGAGGTCATCACGACGGCATCATCTGCTCATGAGAACGTGCAGTGTGCAGTCTCAGCACGAAGTGAACGATTTTCTTCCAAGCCAATGGCCAGTCGAACTAAGAGTAAGAAATAATTTTCTTTTTAAATCTTACTACTAGCTAAAATCTGTCCACTAATCAGTACGTGTACGTTCAGAATATAATGCTACCAATTTGTAATTAAAAAATGCTTCCTCTCTCTCCCTATTGCCACTGTTTTGTGTTAGATGTTTTATTTTAAAAACCTTTAAGTTGAGGTTTTTTCATCTTTGACATTTTTTCTTTATTTCAGCAAAAGTACGAGAAAACGTTCAAACTACACGGGTATGAGAACACTTCATTCATCTCTGGGATGACAAACAAGGTTTGTGAACTGACGCAATATCCAATATTCTTAGCTTGTTATCCTCCTACATTTAATACCTACTGTAATGTTTAAGTTCATTTACTGCGTTACCCTGTTGATATATTTGCTTTTCTAACTATACTATTTATTAATCGTGTTCCAACAAACCTCTTATTTCATGTTCAATGACAGGATCTCCAGGCTATTGGCATCAAAAATAAGTTCCATCAAGATATTCTCATGAAGGAAATCAAGAAACTGCCTGAGTATGAGCTCGATGATACCGTCCCGGTAAGTCTATTTTCCTCATTGAAGTTCAAATAGTTTTATAGTGTTGCATGGGTAGAAACGAAGTTGCACATGACTATTATATGAAACGTGTGACATACTCTCAATAATGCTATGTCAAGATTTAAATGTATATGTCAGAATCGGCAACTCTATCACCGCTTATAAACCAGATCGCTAAATCTATGTTAACATATTTGTATATCCAGTGTAACCACCCTTAGGCGTAACACAGCTAGCTTAGCACGCGTACGCGTGCATTTGGCTACGTTATACCGAACAAGCCGTTACTACTAAGTTAAACCTTTAACAGTTAAATCCATCATTGCTTTATGATTAAATCTGCCTTACTGTGCTTAGTGACAGCCAGTCCACTCTACGATAGTTCTAAGTCATATGTGTGTTTTATTGAAGATTTCTAGAACATCTGACACACTCTCAACGATACCATAGCACGTGTATGTGTCGGAATCGGCAATTCTACCGGTAGAATCATTTTTGACTGGGATTTAAAAAAACAACTTTCTCAGGAAAACTGTCGTCAATGGTTAGAGTCTATTGACATGGAACAGTACGTCAGCAGCTTTGAGAACTACGGCATCATATCCAAGAACGACCTGGCCAGTCTCAAGACTATGGATGTTGAAGATCTCCTGAAAGAACTGAACATAACGAAACTCGGTATTTATCTACCAATCATATTTAAGATTTAATGATCTGTCACGGTGACTTAAAGGGACATTTTGTAACATTTATCATCAACAATTCGTACTTCACTTCCACTTTTCAATATATTTGTGTAATTATCTCACATTTCTTACATCTATGGTTGGCGCTAAAATAGCTCAGTCGAGGCGCGCTCATTTTGTGGCACCGTCATGAACTACCAGAATGTAAACAAATATGGCTAACAAAATTCTATCCCAGCCCTAGGCTAAATATAAAATTTCCAGTCGTCGTTTTTTTCTTCACCAATTACTTAAATCATACATACGTATTACTTTATTATTTTCCAGCTCATCTCAAGAGGATCACTGATGCTATCAAGAAAATGAAGAGCCCTGAAGAAAGTATGCACTGTTGCTTCTCATCAGTTTCTTTTTTCAAACTAAAAACTGAGTTAGCATCCCTGGACAATGTACTTTCTATTCATGTAGTAGCAGTTGTGTCCTTTCTAAAACCTACAACATTATCTAATGTTTTATTTTGCCCGAAATTACATCTTCAGAGTTTCCTTTGGCAACTATAATTTTGTTTTCCTTCACAACAGACAGCTCGTTTAATATGCTTTAGCCTTTTTTCAATATAATATGCTGTGGTAAACAATAACCACTTAATTGCACATTTGTTCAATCCTTTAGCTGGGAGAAGAATAAACCAGGTGAAAAATATCATGAAGAAGGTGAAGACCATCATCATGCAGTACGACAGCACGAGGTCACTTGAGTTCAAATTCTGGGATAAGTTACGTCAGGAATGTCTGGACCCGGAAATATCCCTCTTCAGTACTGATACAGATATAAGGTAACTAGGCTTCAGACAAAGCTGTTTATTATGATTAGGTCACATATCCAAACCGGGGCCCGGCCGGGCTGTTTGTATGAACGAAAAATTAACCATCCATATCAAGAGTATATATAAAAAGTGCCCATGATTATTATCCAAAACGTTTCTGTGTTTTGTTGTCTTTTATATCGTAATTTTCGTTCCCAAAAGCTTCCCGACCGGGCCCCGGTTTGGAAATGTGACCTCAGCATTACGAAGAAGAGGAACTTGTACTTGGTACATGATGCAGTATATGGTAACGACTTTTGAACATATAAGGTTTTGCTGTGAAAACTATGCTACAATGCTGTCAAAAACATTTAAATGGGCTGTTATCAACATGCAACTAGGCTTTAAAAACATTGATACAAATAATGTATTATCTACAGTTGGCGGTTACATGTAGCTTACATTTACTATATACAATAGGTACTTGCACGTAGTCACAATTAAGCAAAGCTCCTACAAAGATTACAGAGAGTTAAAATTCCTACAAAGATTACAGGAAATAAGTGACAGTTGCTCTTATGCTCTGTAATGTTAGACGTAGTCCCACATACAATTGTATTCTCTTTCTTCATACATGTGGTTTGTAACTGCAATTAGCCCTCGGGCATGTATTTGCAATAAACTGTTCACTATATAATACAGGCCCCCTTGATATATATAATATTTCAACCTGCCCCTTCTACGACTACGAAAGAAATGAGCTATTTAGAGAAGCCAACAAATTATATCCCAATTTCTTCATGCTTACAGACAAAAAGAAAACTACTTTTCTCTTAACATCACAAAACCCACACATCACCGAAAAAGTGGGATTCTTCGTCTTCCACTGTCTCGAAAAAAGAAGCCGAACCCAATAAGTTAGAACTAGAGTTAAACATTTGATTCCAATATTTAGGCTAGAGTAGTTACATGATGTATTGTTACACATTGTCTGTTCTTTGTATGTCCACTTACATGTACTTGCAATTAGCCCACGGGCAAGAACTTGCAATAAACTTATCTATACTCTTCGTGTGTTTTATTATTGCAGAACCCAGCTTGTACAGTTACGTAACTCCTGGATCCGTGTCCTGTTGGTGATGAACGTCATGTGGATGACGCTCATCGTGTCTCTGACGTACGTGAAAGAGCTCCAATTCTGGGAATCCAACCCGCTGAGTCTGTGGTCTCTTATTGTGTTCGGGGTCCTACAGGTAGAGAATCTTAAAATTTCTTCTTTTACTAGAAGATTCTTTCATCAGTGACAAGTTGGAAGGATAAGGATACTGACCTCCAAATTTCCGTGAACAAGATGGACTGATAGCCATCGAAAATTTGGAGGTCAGTATTCTTATCCTTCCAACTTGTCACTGATGAAAGAATCTTCTAGTAACTGTATCTATACGTGACAAATGAATCTCGTCAACGATAAAATTTCTTCATCTTTTGTTATTACATGTTTGGACAGTGGGTATGCTGCAAAACATGTACAGTTGCAATAAGGCATTTAGATTAATCCAGAGTCTGCAATGGCTTCTAGTATTCGGGGTGCTACAGTCAGATGATCTTCGGTCTTCTACTCTTTTTGTTTCGAATAAAAAACTGTACTTGTAGGTGATTCAGAGACTTTGACCATCAGAAGCTTAAGCGACCTCTTGAAGAATGTAAAGAAACTGCACTGCCGAGAGTGAGAGCAAGAGTACCAAAAACAATACTTCACTACCTAACAAAAATTTAAATGTTACTAACTATTACCAGAAATATTATCCAACGTTATATCATTTTTTTAAAATTGCTACACATTTTGTTTAGCTGATTCAGTTCCTGACGATGTTGTATCACCGGATCCGGACTTTACTTCACTACCTGGCCCGGTTACCGTACCCAGCGTCCTGTTGCGGTACCATACAGACCAAAGCAGCCGGAAATGGCAAGGCCGACGTCATAGAGATGGGACATCATGGTAAAATATCATTTCTAAAATTCATGTGTATCTGTATCCTGTTGGTGATTGATTGAGTACAAGGTTCGTTATTCACAACCACTTTTTTTAACATGAGCCGACGTTTCGATGACCGTCTGTCTTTAAGATATCAGCCCTGATGAAGACATTGAAATGTCGGATCTTGCTAAACAAATAACTGTTCTATTCCTGCATCTGTGTGCATCTTTGTGACGCCTTGGTTTGCCAGTTTCTAACAATAACCCAATAAGGACCTATCTATTGAACCCAAATAATATTCAGACATTGATATTTCCTTTTGTTTACCAACCTTACGAACATTATTTTTTGTTGCAACAATTACAAAGCAATGATAAATTTGAAAATAATTTTATATCCTTTTTCCAGATCCGGAGGCTCACTTACCCCCAAGACCACCATCATCCTTCTTTGGAAGTTTGCGAATTCAAATGAATGGTCCGTCTCGTCTTTGGCAAATGGGTCGGGCAAACCCGGTGTATGAGGAGGAGTAAATAAACGAAAACGAGAACTACAAGGACTGCGATAACAAAGAGACTGCTGGGCTAAATCGCACAACATAAATTCACCACAGTATATGGTTAGTCTCTACCAGGCTAACTACGCTGGTTATATATAGGAGAATATTTGCCAGGGGAGTTTGGCCGCCTTGTAGGTGTGACTGACCGCGCAGTTAGGAGGGAAAGAAACAACCTTCCCGCGGCCGGACTCAATTGGCCAATTGTACTATTTTTTTGCTGAATTCTACGACACGTATTTCCGTAGAAAGGCCTGGTGGAGGTTAGTACATGGTAGTAGTAAGCTAATAGTGTGCACAGGTTTTGATTTACACTAACGTTGCTTCTCATTGAATTATAGTATGTACTAGCTGTATTCTTTTCGCAGTCCGTTTGTTAATAAGTCATTCTTAATTTTGTTACTGTTGATCCCATTTATTTATGTACATGGTTGGTTTGCTTAATTATATTAACGTTTGGTTATTACACAGATATACGCACACATATATATATATATATATTTATATAAACAAATGGTTAAGATTTACATTCGTACATATTTATGAATGCAAGTGTAAGAACATGAAATGTCATTTTAAACACTAATTCATTCAAAGACACTCTCATCCAAAGTGCTGCTATGTAGTATTTTAATGAATAAGTTAAAAATTCAAATACAAACTTGTGTTTAAAGAAAGGTAAAAGCACATGCTACTGCTAAGGTTGCCATCATATTACATACCCAACATTTTCAAGAGTTCACTGGATCTTTTTATAAACACTTACTACTACGATAACCTGACACAAATTTACTGGTAATATCAAATAAATACGATTACTTCTCATATATCCAAATAGAATCAGCATCATCCTTGCATCCCACTACATCTTTGTCACACAACCGTTGAAGTTCTATCTTCCGAATGGAAACCACAAAATACTAGTAAGCGTCTGTACCCGAGAGAACAGGTAATAAGTTATTTACACTTTGTACAGCGATTTATCTTGGATTTATTATCAAGGAAAATGCAGGTAAGACGCTGAGGTAGTAATCAAATTCAACACGACAATGTTTCACACTTCGCACGGTATGGCTTTCACAGCATCCTAGAAACTAAGGTTGCATTTCCAAAGCGGGGCCAGGCCGGACAGTTCCAGTGACCAAAAAAAATCACATTAACAAGACCGTACTTTTTCAACGTTTTTGTGTTTGTATTATTCAATGTCATAATTTTCGTACCTGGAAACTGCCCGAGCTGGGAAAGGTGACCTTAAGTAGCATAATCCACCAATATGGTGGTCCTGAAAAAGTCACACGGCTGCAAATATCCAATACATCTATTCTTCTGAGTTGTCGAACAGTGGGTTTGTCTTAAAGGTTGTTGGGCCTTTACGGCGGTCGCCTCCGAGTATTGTTGGACGTCGTGTGAGGAGATCTCCAGCACTAGGCATAGGGTCGTTTACTCCTGGACCTGCAACACAACAGGTACCGAAGGAATAAATACTGATGCAGAGAGACGAAAAAAAGCTATCATTTTTTACTTCAGGACCTGTAAAACAACAGGTACAAAAGGAATAAATACTGATGCTGATGAGACGAAAAGAGCTATACTCCAGGACAAAAACAACAGGTACAAAAGGAATAAATAAAAAGTTTATTGCAAATTTGTGCCCGGAGGCTATTGCAAATTACAAAACATAAAAAAAACAATGAAACAGAGTAGAGGCTAACTAAAGTCTACACGATGAAGGTAGCTGTCTAGAACTATAACTATGTCTAAAACTATGTCTGAAGGCCTTGACTTCTCTTCCGTAAAGCATGGAAGACGTAATGTCCCACCTTTTCCAAGATTTGTTGGTTTCAGGAAGTTAAAAGAATAGTCTGTAAGTATATTGGGATAAATTGTAGATAAATACTGATGCAGATGTGCAATTAAATAGGCCCTTACTGCCCGAGTGATGGAAGATTGTATCACCCGCTAAGCAAGAGGCGGCCACGTGAAGGGCATCCAATCAGAAAGCTTCTGATTGGTTGCCGTAGACGTGGTCGCCTCGTGACCAGTGGGTGATAAAATTTTCCACCGACGCGTCGCGCCCAAACTTTCCCGCGCTTTTTTTTCACCTTTCTGTCAGAAGCTCGGAGGGTCAATGGAAAACAACAAATCACTGGACGAAATGTTTTCGTTATTTAATTTCTCGATTAAATGGTCCGTTCTGCAATGAATTTGTAGTTTTCTTGCCAACAATAATACACGAACCATTTGTTCTTACCTTTGTCTTCTTCAATTTTGATCTCTGCTTTGCTGCTTCCTATATTCTTGATGGCGCGCACTTTGAGTGGGTAGGGCAGCCTGGCGATGTAGTGAAGCAGCGTTCTCAACCGATGGTACAGCATAGCAAGGAACTGTATCAACTGTAGGTAAGGAAACAACAACACTTTACCTCGTATGCCTGAATGAACTCCCGGTTAACAAAAAAATTTAATCGTCACGTTATCTTATATTTACAAAAATGGTATCACACAATCCGTGTGGGGTTGTGTGGCGTAGCGGCAGAGTGCTCGACTCGGAACCAAGAGGTCCCGGGGTCGAGTCCTAACATGCCACCGATCTTGTGCCCTTGGGAAAGGCACTTGACACGACTTTTCTCACTTCACTCAGGTGAAAATGAGTATTGTCCTGTTCCCTATCTGTCCTCTATCTGCATTGGTGACGGCATAAAATAAGTTGATATAACTTGAGTGTGCCGCCACCATGTCTAGTCATGAAATGTTGGAATAAAAAAAATCCTAGTAGCGTAAAATAAATAGCGCTGTTCCGAAGGGACTCGCCAGAAAAACGAACCCAGGACCTTTGTTATTAATCACAATAAATACGGCTTACCTGCAGCAGACCGAAGACTAGGAGAGACAGTAGGCTGAGAGGGTTGGCGTCCCACAGCCTGAGTTCTGGGATGTAGGTGAGAGACACCACGATGGTGATCCACAGTACGTTGACGATGAGAAGAACTCCCAACCACATGTTCCTCAGCTCAACCAGTTTTCCCCTACACAAGACATAAAAGCTTGGTGTGACTAACTTGGTCTTCCACTAGTACTTTATAAAAGGACCGAGAATCTTTAAAGTATTACCAAAGTTGCTGGGCTTATTTTAACATTTTAACATCGTCGAAACACCATTGTTCGAGACAAGCTTGGCTCACTTAGATATAGAGTTAGGACTGCAGTAATACAAAATAAGAGTAGCGGTTACGAATTCGAAGGCTGCCCTTGAACGTTCCCTACACCACATATAGACCGGAATGTTTTGTTTCACCCACACCACAAGGGACTTGTACTTTTTCTTGAGATGTACAAGAGGTGGTCCTGACATAAAAAGGTGACTTATAAGAAGGTAACAGATGCTTTTTATGAGGGTCTGAATGGGGGGTGGGGTGGAGTGATTATGTTTTACGTAGGATAAGAATGACCAATTAATCATTACGCTAATGTACTGATTACGAATTACGTTGATTTTTTTGGTGACAGCCTACAGATTACGAAGGCCTAATAAAAGGCCTGATTACAAAAAGGACATGCAGTCCTTCTCTCGTTACCTCAAGTCCCCGTCCGAGCTGAAAAGTGCGATGTCCGGATCCAGGCACTCCCTGCGCAGCGTGTCCCAGAACTTAAACTCCCGGGTCCTGCCGTCATCCTGCTGCATAACACGGGTCTTCACATCCTTACTGATGACAGACTTCACCTGACTGATCCTCCTGTCAGCTATAGAAAACAAAAGCACATTTTTGTTTCAACTTGGTACTATCAAATAAAACTGTCAAGGTTATTCCTGTCTTCCTGTTGCATCACACGAGTCTTCACATCCTTGCTGGTGACAGACTTCACCTGACTAATTCTTCTGTCAGCTATACGAGAGAAATGCAATTTTTTGTTTCAACTTGGTACTATTAAATAAAACCGTGGAGTCCTGCCATCTTCCTGCTGCATCATACGAGTTTTCACATCCTTACTGATGACACACTTCACCTGACTGATTCTTCTGTCAGCTATGCAAAAGGAATGTAAATTTAAGTACTTTTAAGTAATTTTGGTACTAAACAGCGGAGTAAACAGAACATTACTTGTGTTGATAGAGTTAATTCTGAACGAATTTCTAAATGGTATGTTGGATGGATGTAATATTTCAAGTGTGAAAATACGTAACATTTCTGTTAGAGCTGTTAAATTAAAATCGCAAAAGGAATAGCCTTTAAGTAAGCACCCCATTGGTATACTTACATTCGTCAGGGCTTCTCATCCTCGATATTGCATTGCTGATCCGGTTGATGTGTGCTGTATGGACAAACAAAAGCCGTTTAGATTTTTAAATGGATTTCACAATTTTTTGTTTTTACCATTAATGAGTACCATTGTATAAAGGTAGTCACTTAGCTGGTTTCTAAGAAATTGAAAGAGATTAAAAAAACATGTCTTCAAATGGTTCCATGTATTTTCACCTACCCATCTTCGTTATCTTCAGATCTTTAAGAAGCTCGGTGATGTCCATACTACGTAGGCTAGCCATGTCGTTCTTGGAGTAGATGCCATAGTTTTCAAAGTTCTTGATGTACTGGTCAAGTCCGATGGAATAAAGCCACTCTCTGCAGTTGTCCTGAAGAATTAGAAAAAGCCGGTAATGTTTAATTTTTTTTAATATTGACATCTCTATCTAAAAGATTTTGCTATGCACGATTTTAAACATATTTTAAGGCATAAATTTAATGACAGTTTTACTCACAAGTTTTTCTTTCTACGATCTTCAACACATTTTAATACCGATAAGATAGGTATAAATCCAAGGCATAACAATAATGTAATATAAAAAATGCAGTTTACTCACAGGCACGTCTCCTGGTAGCTCAAATTCTGTGAGCTTCTTGATTTCCTTCATCAGAATATCTCTGTGGAAGTCGTTCTTAATTCCGATTGCCTGTAGATCCTGCAGATAAAGTAAATAATTTCTTACAATGAAAAAAAAAACACAATCTGTTAACTATGTTTTATTAATTAACTTATTTTAGGAAAATAATTTAGAACTTAAGATAAAGTACAATTAGTCGCATAATATGTATGTATGTATGTAAGTCCCATAACCGTGAACGGTCGTAGGGGCATCATGACAGCCAGCAGCATGTCTGGACTTGCCATGATGTTTCTGTAGGCTTGTAATCTTGGCGGCGCCTATCTCCTCTCCAAGCGTATGATATTGAAAATATTGAAAAAAGTAAGATGACGACTTTATCTATTAGATATTTTGATGGCCAACTCCTAAATGCTGACATATTTCTTTAGTATATAGGATCTATATTTTCTAAGCAAGAAACAAAGTGAACAGCCTTACCTTGTCCGACATACCTGAGATGAATGTTGTGTTTTCGAAACCATTCTCACGAAACTTCTTCTCGTATTTCTTCTGCAAGTTAAAAATGACAGAACATTATACACATGTAGACATGCGTCCACGAGTATAGAATGCACAGATTCAGATACTAAAAGTGGCTCATTTTATATGTTTGACTACAATAAAAGGCAACTAAAAGAGAGCGAGTTAAAATGTCAGAACATTATATACATATGTAGACATGCGTCCACGACTATAGAATGCACAGATTCAGATAGTTCATTTTAAATATTTGACTAAAATAAAAGACAATTGAACGAGAGCGAGCAATTTCTGTTTGTCACTTGGCACGTTTTTTTTTCTATCATGTGCTAAATGTAAACAATAGCCTGGGTTGTGAAACTCCTGGCTAATCATTGGTTTACAGCAAAGTTGCAAAGTTCTAGCTACATGCAGAAGTCCTGGCGGTAGAAAGAAGATGCCGGTGTTCTCTTGTTTTGAATGACTGGAGGTTGTTGTCAGTGATCAGGCCGACCACGTTGTCTGGGAGACTGTTCCAGATGTGTACTGCAGTATGTATGAAACTTCTGCCGGTGGCGTGAGTTCTAGATACCGGCACTTGGTTGTCATACAGTCAGTTAAAAGCAGCCCAATTCGTGAACATGTACAAGAATAGTGCAATATGTAAGAAGTACCAAGCCTGTACCTTCAGTTTGGGTGGCCAGTAGTATGGGAGCCAATCACTGACGTCCTTCACAAAGGTCTGACTGGAGGATCTGTTGAGACTTCCGGCTCGCCAGCGGGAGAACGACTTGCCTCCTTTAGATGCAGCCAAGGCCACGGCTAAAGACGTGTAAAATACCGAGCATTTAGAACAATAACGTTACTACTTGATTAAGATATTTTTGAGTAATTTCTGCTGTATGATATACAAAAGGCAATTGCTAAAGGTCGGTGAGATTGACTGAGAATTCATGGTGTTTTTCGGAGAAGAATGGGCTGGAAGCTCAAATCTCACAACAATTGCTAAAGTAACTTCTAAACATAGTTTTTATTGTAACAATGTGCAATTTTGAAAGAGAATTTGGCATCTACATTATGTAAACAGAGGCTGGTTGTAATTTTTTTGTTTCAGTATGCAGATACATTATGTTTACTAGCCTCATTAAATCGCTTTACGGTTGCCGGCCGCCCAACATTCAGCCGACCCCCGAATCTCCGGGGAAGGGCCATTTTAGCCGCGGACGGCAGAGTTTACGTTACACAGCAAATCGTTTACAAGCGTCTTCCTTAAATAGTAGTGCACGAACACTTGTAAGAGGTGGCAAAAATCATATAGATAGATAGATAGAAAAGCCCTAGTCTTTATCTAACACGTACAGAATATGGACGGTCTGGAAGGACTGTGAGATTTTCGGCTGCCCCAGCTACCCCAGTTGGAGCTGGAAACACTGCCCTTCCTGCCGCGGCCTCTGGACTTCTGACGGCCGATGCGTCTCTCACTGGGCCCCGCGACATGCCGAGGCTCTTTTGCTGTCAAAAGAGTATAAATATATGTATATCCTTTCTTGTTACTGTGTTATCCATTCGATGAAAAAATGAGATGCCTGGTATGTGGATGATAAGTGAGGCCACAGCACACTTAGATCGAGCAGGGCAAAATGATCATGAATTTTGCATGATGATTAGGATGGTGTTGATGGTGATAATTTTAAAACTTTCAAAGCATCATCGTCAAAAAAAGACTTTTATAATTACAACACAAAAAGTATTTCATATAATTATTATGAAGATGTCATCTGTGTTGGTAGAAATCATTCTGAAACAGGATTCAAGAAAGACCAAATCATTTTCTTGAGTTGGAAATGGCAGTTAAAATCTTGCTTCGGGTTGAAAGAGTGAAAAGAAATTGAAGTGGTGTTTCTAATCTCCGAGCAGATCCTATCGTATGTATCGTATATTACATGTGGCGAATGCATAACTGCCTGGCCAATTAATACTGCCTTAGAATCTGCTTGGAGATTAGTTTTTGTTTTCATTTAAAGTATTCATTTTGTCATCTTGTAGAGGCATGTCACACCCATTCGCAAAGTAAAGGGAGAGAGCAAGGAGATTAGTGTTTTCATTGTAGAGGCACTCCACATTCATTCGTTTAGTCAAGGAAGAGAGCAAGGAAAGCACGGCAAGCATTTAGTACCTTTAAAACGCCAGCGTTCGGCCAATTTAGCTACTGACGGGCCTGTTATGGAATAAAGAAGGGTATAAAAAGCTTTACTTCTAACTAAATCTAAGACAGAAGAACAATGCTATGCTAAAGAAAAACAATTCAATAAACATTAACTGTATACACCAATATGTTCTTCTATCTAAACCTATTGCTACATATACGCACTACACAATGGAAAGCCAGTTGGTTTGCAGCAGGGAAGGCAGATATCAAAGTACATGCATTAGCACATTGACACTTACTAATTGTATTGTTACCTTCCTCTGCAGTCTGATTGGCCTCGCCAGCGTCTTGCTCATGCGTCCCAGCCCCAGCCCCTGTTTAAACGAATGATGACATGACTTATTTCCAATGGCAACCGAAAACTAGCATATCAAAATTTATTAGGCTAACAGAACACCCCTAAATTATGGAAGAGAATGTATCCCTATCTTGAATTAAAATTTCTCTATGATTATGAATCTGCAGACCTACCAATTACATGTAATACCAACCTAGGAATGATGTTGAGGCTTCCAATTGGTGGGTTACAAATGTCACATTATTTTGACAAAGGTTAGCTTCTTTTTGATACATCTTGGCAACATTGGTCGCTGTTCTTAACATATTTGCGTTCTTGTAATTTTTAGATTCACGCATGTATTTACACGATTTGTTGATAAATGAATGCTGTTGTGATTTCGTACCACCATCATCATCCAGGTCGTCGAATATTTCTGAATCTTCGTCCTCCTCAAACGCGAGGTTGATGTGCCCGTCCTCCGGCGGCAGAACCACGTCTCCTGGCTCAGAATTCTCATCTGTGTCTCGTCGACAGCAACTGTAATTTTTGGAAAATAGAAGGCAACAACAACAAAAACTCATCAATGGGAAACTATTGGCTTATTCGTATTGTATAGAACAACATCTTGTGATATAGGGTTAGGTATTCTTCACACTATCATCATCGGCATTTTCTAGCATTCAAATATCACGCCGCATGAGCTACAAAAAGCATTTAATAGTAGTTATGGCATTTAGTCCCGTTTTAGGATGACCCTTTTCGGTTCAACATGTATGAAAAAAGAATATACAATTATAGAAGATGCTACATGTAACAATATACTACATTCTACAACACACGTGGTACTAGTATTCCTGAGTTTGACTTCTTCTTTTGAGGCAGTGGAAAACGAATTTACCCACTTCTTCTATAATATGTGGGTTGTTAGATTGGGTATATTTTACAATTGATTGACAAACTGTGCTTACAAACATATTTTCTTCAGCATGGTTGAGAGAGTCTCAATGAAGCTCCTTCCTGCCGCGGCAGCACCTGGTGTCTTTGCCTCTCGGGTTCCTGTTCAGATATTACAAATGATTGGGACAATATTTATCACCTGTTCAGCACTTGGAAAGAACAATGAAAGTACAGTAATTACTACAGTAATTGACGACTGACTCCAACAGTGATAACCACTGAAAACTAACTCCAACGTTACACCACATAAGGAAAGCGACATATCCAGAACCATACATATTGTGCGAATGGATTTCTGCCTTGCATGCATCAGCGAAGCAACATTAACTAGTTTATTCTATGACCTATTCGTTACGCTGCAGACTATGTAGATGTTGAACAGGATACATCTGTTTTGCACATCTGTAGCATTTGACTTACAGTCAGCCTTGACTTAGGACTTATGTGTTATTATGTTACACATTTATAGGAGGAAAACATTGATAATGCCTTCTGTACTTGCTTAAAAGGATAGTTAAGTCCTACAGGTTTCAGGCCAGCTAATGATGACATTTTTAACCTTTTGCTTTGTTTATCTTTACTCAGATTCATATATATGATGATCATGCAGCTATTCTTGAACTATTTGTTTGAAGAAGGATAAGAAACTGAACAAAAACCTTCTGCGAAGATAAACAATACTAGTAACTGACATACCCCAGGACCTATCGGTCATGTTACAGACGCTGTAGATGATGAGTAGGATGTACCCAGACGGCAGACTCAGCAGGTACACGAACCCGTAGATCAGGGTCATGAACTCTGACGGGTGCAGCAGAGCCGTGATGACGTAGAGCCCGGCCAGACCGAGGAAGTAGATGACGCTGATGGGAAGCGGCAGCTGCTGGAGGATGGTCGGCGGGGCAGACGGGGTGGGGGCATTCGCTGGAATAGAATAAAATAAATCTAAGATTAGCTTCGACTTGATTTAATACGTCGGTGAAGATTAGACATCCAGGTAATACTTGGCTTGGCTTCGTATCCGAACATCCAGGTAAGAAGATACGCAAAAAAACATTTACTCTAGCAACTAGATATGATTTTGGAAACGGTCAGACGTTTCAGGTAGCATCCATTATCTTTCGTCATTGATACTAGAGAACTTGTGCAGCAAGGCTGGTTTATAAGCAAGAACTATTGATTGATATGCAAATAAGTGAAGTCAAATTCTCTGTATAGGAAACAGATGATTAGATTTGATATATCACTAGAAAGGTAACATTTGCAAAGCAAATGCGCCATTTTTACCTTCGTATATGGTCTACTATTTTTATTGTTACTGAAACATATTCACATATATGGTGAAAGGAGTCTACAAAAAAGCGAGGAGAAGTCGAGTGTTAGTTTGATCATCTATACATGTATATACAATTTATTACTTTGTACCTAACCCGGTGGGTATGTATGTATAATATAGGTCTTCATTCATTCATTTATCATTCGTAGTTGACGGATTGCTACCAAATCATATATCATACTATAGTCAAAACAAAGAACATAACTTACCAGCATTCTGTACACGATGCTGAAATTGGGTGAAGATGATCTTGCAGTCCCTCTCCAGGTCAAAATCGCCATTAGGGCCGTCAAACTCGTCACACAGCTCGCTCTCTGTTGCTAACGACAGCTGGAATCCGCTACAATTCGGCACAGTTTCATTTTGTTAGTGTGATAATAGATTAATTGTGTAGTACTTAAACTATAGTTATAAGCATAGTCCAGAATACATGCATATGGGCGCACTCCACTTTTTGTGGAGTGCGACCTGTTATTGTAGCTTTATTGTAATTATGCCCAAGAGGAGTCCATAAATGGTTAGCTATACATGTACACCAGCGTTAAATGCCAGTTAAATCTGAAAATGGTTTTCAGTGCACCTATACTAACAGTTATGGTCATTGGTAGACCCCATAGTAAACAAGACAGGGGTGTCCAACATTGTACTTACTCGTATCTTCCGAAATGTTTAGATATGTTGTCAAATGTCCCCAAGTCGGTAATACAGTCTGATATCCATGCCGTCACGTTTCCCGGTGTCCACTCCAGTGGAGAGGTACAGTCCAGGTCCTTACAGGGCGTACATTCACCTGTTCTCTCACACTCCTGGCAGCCTGGATGGACACAGTCAAAACATCATCACATGGACGCAAACTAACACAGAAACGGAACACATAGCAAGGTATCATATTGAAGTGTATAATTCATAATGATTCCACCGATTTCGCTTACAAATAAGGAATCTATTAGCTACTTGTATTTATTTCTCGGAATAGCTATTATTACATGGCAATCATGGCTTTTACTTGACATGACAAGACAGCGTGTTACTTGGTACTAACAGGTTGATGAAACGTACTTCTATGCACCCTCGCCATCGCTAGTACTTTGGTCATTGAAATAAGAAAAAACCATGAACTATCACATCAATGAACAATGGGACCTAATGCTGGAATCTAAAGATGCAATGCATCAAATTATATGATTAGAACGCTAGATAAAAATGGTAGAATTTGGTCTGTATCTAGTCTCTTACTTTTTACGTCCTCGTTCGGGGCCGGAACCGAACTCTCCGCGTGAAGCCTGCGGTCCAGAATCTGGAATGACGTCACCATCTCCCGAGCCTGCCCGATCAGCACGATCACCATGACAACCGTGAACAGCATCGTCAGGATCTTTGCCCACTGAAAGTGAAAAACGAAAAAAAATGTTTAAAAAAGTTAAGAAGTTTTACAAATAATTCAGAGTCGTCTTTCACATGACTGTGTGACATAATTGACATGAGTATCGGTCTGGTTCAGGTTTGTATAATAGGTCATGCAAAGTTTTATATAAGGGTTTGTGTGGTGTAGCTTATAAATAAAGATCCTGCTTCACACCATGCGAAGCAAAGGGGTGGTGCCCATCTTAACTTCTGTGTGATATTGATATATACAAAACTAGTGGCTTATACAAGGGGTTGTACGGTAACATTTGGTGATAAAAAAATTGAATTGAAAAACAAAAAAAAACTGGCATGGGAACAGTGACCATAATTACAACTGTAAAGTTCAAATCAAAGTGGGGTCGTGTGGCGCAGCGGCAGCGTTCTCGACTCGGAACCAGAGGCCCCGGGTTCGAGTCCTGACATGCCACCGATCTTGTGCCCTTGGGAAAGGCACTTTACACGACTTTCCTCACTTCGCTCAGGTGTAAATGAGTATTGTACTGTCCCTGTGTTGGTGTCGGCATTAATATAAGTTGAAAAAACTTGAGTTTGTCGTCACCACGTCTTGTGATTACATGTTTCGGAATAAAAAATAAAAAAAAGTTCAAATCAGAACGTCAAATAAACGATTCTAACCTTCAGTTGAGTTTCCTGTGTTGTGTAGACACAGAGTAAAGCGTAGGCTACGAACACCAGGAACAGGATGACAACAGTTGGGATGATGCTGCCTCCGATGTTTCCAACCACCAGCTCCAGTCCAGCTGTAAGCAAGAAGAAAATGACGCTTCGGGTATAAGAAAACTTTTTGCATAAAACTTGCATGACAAATAGAAAATTCAACTCGTATCAAACGACAAAAGTACAAACTCATCACCTTGGTAGGCTTCGTAACACGTGTACAAGTGTATAGTCATCGTTTTAGGTGTTAAATCTAGCTTAATCAACAACTTGGTTACAATTAATATAATGTTAAGTATAACAAATGCAAGTACCAAGAACACCAAGATAAACTCACGGCAATCGTAAGGAAATTTCCTTTAAATTTCAGCCCTCGGAATTTCAGTGTTTGCTTTATTAAGTAGTACACTGTCAGCTTGATACATAATTAAATTTGCATGTCTATTCAAGACCATAAGAATAAACTTGTTGTAAAATGAAGAGAAGCATAAGAAAAAAACTATTATTATTTACATACCAGCAATGATCATGATGACAGTAGAAGGCCCTATCATAGTTGAGAACAGTAGGAAGCCTTGGTACAGTATAAACAGCCTGGAAATGTAGTCATTGATCATTTGGCCGTTCGCCCATTTCCGCAGTAGCTCCATTTGGTTGGCGATGGTTGAAGGGATCCACCGCCTTCTCTGGTTAAAGAATTCGTCAAACTCCTCCGGACAGTAGGTGCTGTCCTCGGACACAGCCGTGTACTCCAGCCGCCAGCCCTTCTCTACCTGGAGAATCAAAATCAAAACACATCGGTCTCAAAGTTCATCTGTGTTGGTAGCATTAGCTCTAACTGGTTAGCTTTAGTTGAGGGGATCCGCCGTCTGTAGGCGCTGTCCTCGGACACAGCCGTGTACTCCAGCCGCCAGCCTTTCTCTACCTGGAGAATCCAAATCAAAACACATTGGTCTCAAAGTTCATCTGTGTTGGTAGTATTAGCTCCAACTGGTTAGCATTAGTTGAGGGGATCCTCCGGGCAGTAGGTGCTGTCCTCGGACACAGCCGTGTACTCCAGCCGCCAGCCCTTCTCTACCTAGAGAATCAAAATCAAAACACATTGGTCTCAGGGTAAGGCAGGTACAAACGAGTACCCTGTGTTGGTAGTATTAGCTCCAACTGGTTAGCATTAGTTAAGGGGATCCGCCGTCAGTAGGTGCTGTCCTCGGACACAGCCGTGTACTCCAGCCGCCAGCCCTTCTCTACCTGGAGAATCCAAATCAAAACACATTGGTCTCAAAGTTCATCTGTGTTGGTAGTATTAGCTCCAACTAGTAAGCATAAGTTGAGTGGATCCTCCGGACAGTAGGTGTTGTCCTCGGACACAGCCGTGTACTCCAACCGCCAGCCTTTCTCTACCTGGACAATCAAAATCAAAACACATCGGTCTCAAAGTTCATCTGTGTTGGCAGCATTAGCTCCAATTGGTTAGCTTTAGTTGAGGGGATCCACCGTCAGTAGGTGCTGTCCTCGGACACAGCCGTGTACTCCAGCCGCCACCCCTTCTCTACCTGCAATGGGTGTTTGGTTTGTTGTAACACTATGAACCTTTTTCATATGTAGAGCAGATGCAATACTTTATCCATTTTGCCATGAGTGAGAGCTTTGATTTAGCAAAGATGACAACCAAACCAACTCATGAAAAATCAATCCCATCGAAATTCATAGACAATGATGATGTAGATTTCCCTGGTGTGATGGCTAGTATGATGCCAATATTGTACAGGTATCACGACTTAGCGACATGGACATGGGGCTCTAATACCTCTTTTTTTACCTATTTCATAACTGTTAGTACACTAACCAGAGTGCAGAACCAATGGTCCTTCCGATATAGTTTTTTTTTTCAGCTGGGCTCCCCACATTCTTTACAGTCTGTAAATGAAATTGGACTCCGTACCTTTGTGAGGCCCGTTTTTGTCTGAGAGAAAGGTTTAAAGTTTGTGGCAATGCTTCGTCAGATCTCGTTAGAGGCATGCACCTGGGGTTGTCTACTCGTTGTACCACCTTTGTGTGCTACCATTGTATTCTAGAGGGTGTATGACGTACTCACCAGTAGGGTGCAGAACCAGCGGTCTTCTCCCATGTCCTTGGTGAGGAACTCTTCAGCTTTGGTCACCTTGGTGGCGTAAGTCGGCAGCGCGTCTCTCACGGCCTTGGCTCGGTACACACTGAAGCAGCCTGGGCAGCAGAGTACTGTACCCAGAACGCTGTTCGCCACCTGCAATTAACATAATCATAATTATAACGACTGAGAACCTCGCTAAGATTTCTGTATGGATATCCATACAAAAAGCTTAGTGAAGCTTGTAATGCATTCTGTTAGCCGAATTCTATAAACTTTCAACTTAGAGCAGTTTTAAACTTTTAAGACTCACGTTGAACTAGATTCTAGAATTTTGTCTCTTTTCATCTAGAGATACTGGTTTTATATTGAAATCAGTTACACACATTAATTATATGTAGAATCCACACTACTAGTATATAGATGACAAATAATTAGGTGGCGTAGCAGCAGAGTGCTCGACAACCAAGAGGTCCCAGGGTCGATTACTGACATCCACCGATCTTGCCCTTGGGAAAGGCACTTTACACGTCTTTCCTTACTTCGCTCAGGTGAAAGTAAGTATTGTATTGTCCCCTGTGTTGGTGGCGGCATTAATAAGTTGAAAAAACTTGTGATTACATGTTGGAATAGTAAACAAATATTTAGGCATTACCTTTTGAAACCAATGGCCCACGGCGTAGTCAAACATCTGGTACCAGACCATGGGTCCTGAGCCTAGTGGGTGAGTCCGGGCGCACACGGCACCAACGTTAGGGTCACGTGTCATGATGTCCAGCAGGGCTTTAGCAGACTGTGGTGAGAACTTCACATCGGCATCGGTGGCGAGCATGAAATTATCCCTGTCTTTGTCTGTAGCGTTAAGAGTAAAATGACACGAGGCATAGAAGAAGACATGAGATATGGAAGAAGAAGAACTTTATTGCACAACAACTGCACATGAAGTACATGATTGTATGAAGTACATGTACATGTACATGGTATGTAAAGTACCAGTCATACATTGCCAATGCAAATGTACTCTCTTCATTCTGTAAAAAATCAAACCATCATAGATATGCTCTCTCTGACATCTAGGAACTCCGAAAATTTTATTTTAAATATTATGGTCATATTATTTTTACATTTTTACGATGGACGAAGACCTAGCAGAGGGCAGACTGAATGGCTGAACGTTCGAACCTAAATCTTCACGTACATTGCTTTCTAAAAATCAATGGGAGAAGCAGTAAGTTAAAAAAAAAAAACTAACTCACCAGCAGCCGAGTATCCCAGCACCTCCACCCGCATGCTGATCCGATTGGCCCATTGGACGGGGTTGAAGCTGACGAAACGCGTTGTGATTGGCTTGTCCAGCAGCTGACGTACGGGGGTGTCTGCGTCACGGTTTCCCTCAAATTCCTGATAAACAATGATTGATATGGGCGATTGCAGGAGCGACACATTTGTACATTCATTGCACTATCAAAAAAGCCAGATATTGCTTTGATCTTAATCGCAATGAGTATATTCGTTCCTGGGCTCTACTACTAGTGCAAATGTCCTAAATTTGTACATCTCTACATTGTACACCTACATGTATATCTAATCACAATATCCTAAGTATGCTTAGGGACATCTGTCCCTACGTTGGGTAGACCATTGGGGCACCACAGATACTCTGTTAACCATCCATGTTACATGGAAAGTTAAACTCGTACACACACACACACACACACACACACACACACACACACACACACACACACACACACACAAATACAGCTCTAAGAATTACGAATTAAGATCTTATCTTCACAAGTCATAACAATCAACTGCATTGAACTGTAATACATATGGACGTTGGCATCACTATCGAACTGCATGACTCACCACAGGCTGCCCGGAGTCATCCTTGTAGTACTGCCACAGCTCGCCGTCGTCGCTGTACAACAGCCGGTACTTCGTCACCCACTCGTTCGTGCCTGCCTTACCCTGGGTAACAACTCCCGTAAACACCATGTCTTCTCCCAGGTCGATCTGTAGGTACTGTAAAGAAATGGGAAAGAGTTTATAATCCAATTAAATTTTGGTAATGAAGCTACTAAAATTATCTAAAATGTTACTCTTTATAATATTATACTATATAAAAAGGTGGTTGAGAAAAATTGGTAATTGGTGATATTTTAAATGCATGGACACCTATATATTCAGTGGACGTTCAGTTAGATTGATTGCACCTAAAAATTTATATTTGCTTGTACATGCTCATTACGACCATTCAATATCATAGATATTCTATGGTATTTATTCATCTTATTTTTAGAAGCCTTTGTTACATTATGTGCAAAGCATATTAACTGCTCTAGTTACGGTGAATCTACTTTGTGGTTTAATTCGCTCTTCTCAAAATTATAATCTATTGAAGGTGTAATAACTCTGAGTGCTCCCATTGATCTAAAGTAATAATCGTTATTTTTTAATGTAACTCGACTTTTTAAAATGTCGACTAAGTCTCGCAATTTAGCCATCACGGTCGCAAGGAGTCAGTCATTTCTCCAATATTTTTGCTTGCTACTAGTCTACTACCTGGTCATCGTCGAATTCCCCGGCAGTCCACCCCCCAGCGCCGCTGGCATCCCGCTTCATGTGGAGCCTGGCCCGGTGAGGACCGTTAAAACTGTCCTGGCCCAGTACTGAAGTCGCCTTCATGTGTGTGTCTTCTATGGCCTTAGACTCAACGCCAATTGGGCTGAAGTACACTACAGTGGGATATACAATTGTCAAGGAAATTGATATAAATCAAGAAAGAAAGATAATCCTTAGACAGCGGTGACACAATTTTATTTGTATTAGCACCGTTTTGCCAAAATTGAATGTTGATGAACATTAATCTACTGCTTGTTACAAATATTTGATATGCATATGCTGTAGTGGTCTCACCTGCATAGTCCAAGATGTAAGACATGTACATCACCTGGCTCCATCTCTTTTTGTTCTTCACCTGTAAAAAAGAGTTGACTCTTGAACTTGAGAGCAGCAAATTGTATCCAAAACAATTGCACAACTTTGTAATACTCACTGGAAAATTCGAAGTGGCAATGCCATCCATGTGTTATGTAGTTTGCAAAATATTGAGAGTAAGAAATCAAACGCTATGAGGTTTTCTACTTATCAAACTGTTGTCCTTGAAATGGATGTTGAAGAATATGTCTTGGACATAATGTATATTTACTCACTCGGAAAGTGGCAATGCCATCCATCTGTTGTGTAGTTTTCTATATAATGAGAATAAGAAATATTGTCCAATCAAATGCTATGAGGTTTAAATTTCTACTCACCAAAGTGTTGTCCTTGAGATGAATGTTGAAGCTCATGCCACTCTCGGTCTCCCCGTTGTCATAATGCAGGTCCCAGTGTAGCTGCAGCCCGTACGGTGTTTTGTACTTCGTGCACTGGTTGATGATGCTCTCTTTGGCTATTCAGAAGGAAAAATTTATTTGCACAAATGTAACATGGACGTGTTTTCATACATCTTAACTAAGACCACACTTTATTTTTACGTACAGGCACACTCGCCTTTTGTTGGGTTGTTTATCTACATGATAAAGTCTCTTTACCACTCATGTATGTTAAAAATGCTATCTTTAAATTATTGATATAGAAACGACAGATTTGGGTTCGTATACATATTGTAGCCCCTGTAATGTTTCGCTTTGGGTATTAGCGGTATCTAACAAAAATACAAACGCGTGGCGTCGCATGGCGTAATGGCAGAACATTCGGTCAGGAACCCATGGGTCCTGGGTTCGACTCCACACTGTCTGGGAGCTAGTGATTCCCTACAAACCTCCCTGGCGAACCCCATCTCGCAGCTCGTACTAGCCACAAAAAGGCAGCAGAGTCTTCAGCTAGTTGAAGATGGCTGTCTCTAATTAAAAGAAGAATAGAAGAAAGAAGAAGACAAAAGTCCTTACTGTTGCCATCCTTGAGAGTGTGGTCCATGAGTGACAGCAGCTGCAGTGCCCACTGGGACGGCTGTCCCTGCTTACACCCTCCGTCGAAGAAAATGTGCGACTCGAATGTTCTCTCACCGACCTGACTCTCCGCTACACCACGTAATGACGTCAGTAGCTGCTCCATCTCATGTTCAGCCTAGGTTCAACAACATTCAACATCTTTGTGAAGAAAGTTATGTTGTGGAGCCGTTTGTTTGTAAGAGGGTGTTTGGGGGGTCACTCTGGCCTTCCTCAGTAGACTGACTTAGTGAGGCTTGTCACGTGGCTTCTTTGAACTGCGACGGGGGCCGACACCGTCTACAAGATACTTTTGACCCAGTGTTGACGTCACACTTCAAAAAGGCCACTGACAAGTCTCACTGGGTCAGTCTGCTGAGGAAGACCAGAGTGACTGATCGAAAGCTCTAGGTGAAAGAACTTTTTGTGTCGGACAAAAGTTTGAACTCTAAACAACTAAAGGTGATGTTGATTTTGTTCTCTTACCTCGTGGTACATGGTTGTGCAGATGTAGACGTGAGCGTTTTGTCGGGTTCTCTTCTGCACCACGAAGTCCTCGCTCTTCGTGTTCCTGTTCTTCCGGCTCAGCAGCAGCCACTGTTCGGGAAACACTCCGCTGTACCCGGGCAGCCAGAACAACTGTCATGGGGGGTAAAAATATATTACAGTTTACAGTAACTTACAATTTTATTAAAAATAAAGCAAATGCATAAATGTTTATCTTTGCATATGGTCTTCTCTGTTAATTCTTACTCAAACACATTCATACATATATACATATATATGGTCAGACAGGAGTCAAAATCCCTCCTGCTACATGATGTGACCCAATACTAGTTACCATGGTGACAAACGTCTGGTTCGGGTAATTGACCTTATTGGTTTGGAGAAGAAGAAGAAGAGGAAACAGGGCAAAAGCAATATGTTTTTTTTTTCGGTAAACATATTAGAAACCTTTCTTATCTATATGTCTATTTCATATAGCTATTAACAACTCAGTAATCTTATAAATTTAAAATATAAATGATGATATGACGGACTTACACTAGCTTCCCTCTCCATAACGATGGTGGGACTTCTCATAACGAACCAGGTTGTTGACAGAAACTGTATAAGAAGGAGACCTGCCGTCACTGGAACGTCCCAAATGAGCTCATCCATATTCAGGTTAGCCGTGCAAGTTTCCTCAGGGATGAACCCGACGAGATCGCACAGGCCGTCGACATACGCTATTGTGACTGTAAAAATACAGAACAATTTGGTGTTCATAGATGTATTTGTACATGTCTATACCAGGGTATTCAACAACAATATGTGATACAACTTTCATCAAAATTTTTGAATTGACATGGCATGAACACAATAAGTCATGTTTGAGGAGAGCTAAAGCCTTTTTTGTTTTTCTAGCTGTTTTCGTCAAAATTACAAAAAAATGCCATACATGGATTGCTGTAAATTTTGTTTTGGGTAGTCAAAAGGCATCGCTAAAGAAAGGTAACATCTGTACATACCTCATGTATAGATGCTACCTTTCTTTTAAACAATGGCGAATGAAATGTGGCCCTTACATGCGACATTGGTTCCTATGCAGAGTGGGAGGGCGAACCCGAAGAACTGCATCCGTATGGTACACGCCATCCACGCCAGAACGTATCCACCGAAGCTGCAGCACACGTTTACGATGAAGCTAGTAATAGCCGGATTAGAGATAGTGAACGTCGCGTACAGGTCCAGTTTGGTCCAAGCCCATGGCGAGCAGATCTTCACCAACCCGAGCATCTTCAAGGCTTCTGGTACAAGGAGTACGAAAACGATCTTGAAGAAGTTGTTGATGATTCCTGCCTTCCATCTCGCGTTTTGTTTGACGTTGCTTCCAAGATGGTCTACAGTCTGCACGACGACTTCGCTCTTCTGTCTTCCGAAGAAGATGCCATCCGGATCTTCCACCGCGACGTCGTGCGCCCTGCTTTTCTTCTTGGATCGGGCGGCGTTCTCGGTGTCGTCGGTGTCGCTGCCTTCTCCGGTCTGGTACTCTTGAAGAAGAGGTGCCCAGGCGACGGATAGAGACAGTAGGGACACCGGGATCTCCCATAGCTGGGTCCGGTAATAGCACCACGCCCCCACCAAGGCTCCACAGGCCAGCCCGAGAATGATCGACGCCAGGATGTAGAAGAAGAGACCCAGGTGCTTCCTGATGCGAACTTTGGAGAGTTTGATGGAGTGTTTCACAACCTGCAGAACGGAAGTACCTGATGAGTATACAGTTTTGTAGCATATAAAGGCACTATACATGTAACAATAGCAGACGCACTGATGTAGATGAAATAAAGTGATCATTCTACGGATAGGAGTTGGACAGTCTGTGCTATAAATTCATCTCATTCCCAGCCCAACAGACCGCCCGAATGGAGTTTTGCGTCTGTGATACTGTTTGGCAAGCCAGGAAGTGGGGCTAATCTCCCATCGGGAAAAAACCTACCGGGGAACCTCGCTCAAGTGGGCGGGGAAGAACTACAGCAACCCTGAGGAGAACCCGCTCCAACCGCCAAAGACTGGATACCAGATTACAGATGGTTCGTTTGGTTGGAGAAAAGAGACAGCTCTATAGATCTATACAAATCCTACTGGGAATTGCTGTAACTATATAACCCGTTTTGTGTGTATCATATTGACTATGTTTCACCTGTAGTATGATGGGTACGAAGAAGATGCCGTTGGCCAGTACCAAGCTGATGGAGGGGGCGACAGACGGCATGACCCGCAACGTGAAGAGACACAGGCCGAACACCTCCAGGAAACTCAGAACCACGCCCTGGAAACAGTTTTGTAAATGTTATTGATTGTGTCATATCTATAATTTTTTTATATTTCAACATTTCATGACTAGACATTGTGACGGCACACTCAAGTTATATCAACTTATTTTATGCCGCCACCAACGCAGAGGACGAATACAGGACAATACAATACTCATTTTCACCTCAGCGAAGTGAGGAAAGTCGTGTTAAGTGCCTTTCCCAAGGGCACAAGATCGGTGGCATGTCAGGACTCGAACCCGGGACCTCTGATTCCGAGTCGAGCACGCTGCCGCTACGCCACACGACCCCACATATCTATATTTGGCATGAAACAGGTAGGTTTCTTTCTTTATTCAAATTGCAAGAGCAGTTACACCGTTGCTATATACATTATAAAACATATACACTGGAATGCGTAATGCAAAAAGATTTTAGTTGAGTTATACGAACAACTTAGTAGAACACTTTTTCTTCAAATTTCTTATGTTCATTTCTGAAAGTCAAAAGATCTTTTGAAGTAAATCCTATACTTGAATTCTTTGACCACCTACCCGATGCCCTGACCACCCATTCCAATTACAATTTAATGTAAATCTTTAACGAGTTATATATTGTTTATACTAGTGTTGTAGCGTCAACGTAAAACAATTCTCATGGTCCTGGGTAAACATCCCATGTTGTAAAACTAGGAGTTTATGGGGATGATGCAAACAGAGGGCAATTGGTGATATTTGTTCGGCACCGCTTACATCTTTAAACACCGTTCACATTTTCACAGGAAGGCTAGGCTGAAAAATTACCATCGTATCCAGAACTGTGCCTATCTACATGTAGTCTATGCCTGAATGTGTTAGGGTTAGGATAAGGCACGGTTCTGGATACTCTTACTGTATGCAAGAACATAGATTTGCCTCAGGCACGGTTCTGTATAACGACGCGTGGACTATCCAGAAACATGCCTGGTCATGGTTCTGGATAGATCACGGTTCTGGATATATACCACAACCAAAGCACCCGACTAGCCACCTTTTATTCTTACGGTATAGACTTTAGAATGTGAACGGATATGTGTGGTAGATTATTTGACGTACTCGAGGTGTGGCTTAAATGTAGGTACATGCACGTTCAAACAATTCTTACCACATATTCATATTCACAGGAAATAGGTGAAATATGCCTCTCCCAAAGTCACACGTCTTTCACGTGTACTCAGGGGCGTGTTGGAATTCTAAGCTTTTCTTAACACAAAATACACTTCGCATGTCTTACGTGCGTTGGATTTGAGGAGGGCTAATAAATGGCTGAACGATGTTTGCCCAGAGTGTTTGCTTAACAGCGAGGACACACAAGCAAGGCGTTTACCTCGTCACAACTGACGAACGGGGACATGCAAATATTTTCGAACGGCGTTGATGTCAGATGCGTATCTTTTTTTGACGATGTACCACAGAAAATGACTATAATTTGTACGCATGTGGCCTCATGACTTCAGATGATGTCAACGTGTGTTTTTATAAAGAAAAATACTGATTGCAAGTTGCAACAGCTTATAAATATTTTTTTATATTTGGATAAAAGTGTCCACGTAGCGGAATTTTGTGACCGAGAATATTCCGTCTACCAGTATTAAAATCATGTCAACTTGTATACTTAGCAACCGATATTTATATTATTTATTGCACTAAGGCTACTTCATCTATTGTAGTAACCTTTTGCGTAATATGCTATCTTATCTGTTTCTGAAGTCCAGAGACGGGTTGGGTTTTTACGTTTTATATGTTACCTGGACATTGTATCCTCTCACTGTTGGTCTCCGTGTGTGGTAACATACAGAACCCTGCCAAAAGTAAACATCCACTCAAATACGTCGACTAATATGATTACTCAAACACGTAGGTTCATTTCCGGCCTTTCAATGTTGGCACTCTATCAAGAATTTGGATTGTGGTTACGACCCAAGGAGCGTTGAACTTTCGCACTCCACTAGTCCTACCCTCTCAGTACAGGTTAGGCTTGTTTCTAACGTTGTTTAGGTGTGTAATGTCTGTCTCTCTATTTAGGCCAGTATACTTAAAGAAAATATAAGAAAGAAAGCCTGACAAACTCAAAAAAGAACACGTCTGAAACAAGCCCAACATATGCTTGAAAAGTAACTAGTTCTTAGAAAACCCCCGGATTTTGTGCAAGAGGGATCGAGGACGCAAATACCAAGGGCCCATCACCACTTTCTTCCTTTCGCCTATGCTTGCCCTCAGATACTGCCGAAAACTGACACAGTAGAAGAAATTTTGGGGGAAGAAATTAAAAACAAACATAGCAAGCATCGTAGATAAGGATTTCTGTACGTTTTAGCACTGACAAAGTATAATCTCAGGCGAATCAACCATTTGTTTATTCAAACGACAGAGCGACACGTTGCTGGGCTTTTGCCCTACTTATCCGGTAAATAGAGGTACTGCACCAGCTTTAACTTAGTGTGCCATCCTTTGCGTCTTTGTAAGCGTACATACTACCTCTGTTGAAAGCGTGTCACAGAATTCGTACGAATTTTCCGGAATATATATACGAACCATTACTTAGAAACATACAATCCTTACAAATTTGGTGATCCAGGCGCAGGTCACCAAATTAGTTAGGATCGCATTTTTCCGAGTAATGGATCGTACATGTGTGTGTATGAATTTCGAAAATTCGTATGGATTCAGTAAAATCCATAGAAATTCTTTGGCATCCCTGGTTAGCCCCACCCCCAAACAGAAAACACAAAGAAGCTGAAATAACGTACGGGACACCACAAAAGTGAGGTGCAAAGCAAGAAATAACTATGTATCTGCTTCAAGCTTGTACTGCCCTACCAGTGACCCATTAGCAGTGTGTTTTGCAACTTAGTGACATCCTGTCTGTATGTTTAATCGTATAAACTACATTTCTAGATTCAACCCCAAACAACAACCAAAAAAAAAAATAGAACGAACAGAACGCCACAAAATGAGGTGCAAAGCAAGCCAGAACCATTGATCTGCTTGGAGTTTGTACTGCCCTACCGGTGACCCCTATCCATTGTGTTGGGTCCTTCCTTTTATGTCACCTGGTGACCACGTCACCATGTTGAATAGACCGTACAAGTAAACTTATCCACAGTCAGTGTAACCAAACACTCGGCGGGCGTACTTATGTCTTTGTTGTACAGAGTAAGTTAATCTGCTAGAGTGGGTGCCGTTAGCTTAACAGGTTAAGGTTTTTTCTCTGAAAAAAGTGTGACGACTTCCGACGTGCTTGGAATATTACGGGCTAAAAAAAACCGCCTACACAAGGAAACGAACGACCTTAAGAGGTCGGACCGTTAGGTAGTGGAGTAACCAGGGACGTTAAGACTTATGTACAGACAAATCTGACAAAAATAGAACGAAAACAAAAAGAACACAAGACCTATATCAATTTGCCGATCCTCGCCAACACAGATTCAGTTTGCACTGTCAAAGTGTTGTAATTTTGGTGGACAGTTAAGAATTAGCTGTATCTGTTTATAACGAGTCAAACCAGGCTTCTAAGCTTTTTTTTAGAGTGAGGCACAAAATTTGTACCAGTGACACGTGCCTAAAGTCAGGCTCACAGTTACACGTTTGACAGTCTGACTATGACCCTATAGACGTGTGGCTGTGGGCACGTATTAGACCAGACATCTTCCAACTAGAACAATAGCCCACTATTTTGCCATACAGTACAATACGATAAAGTCAAAGTGTATACTTTAAAACCTTGATCTCAAAGTCCTGTCTGTGTCTAATGATTTCCAGTATTTGTTCTTGTGACAAAACTAACTTGACATAGTCTCCCACTAAGTTGCATGAATAGCCTTATATCTAATTATATTTGCGTTTATCGATTGATACATTCCTATTTTGCTATGGTTTCTATAGACTTTAAGTGTTAACAACGAATAAATGGCGATAGCATAAGGTGCACGTGTGCGAAAGGCATGCGGAAATAAACTGTTTCATACGGTGTACGTGACGGAGTGTGTATGACTCATGGCTTATTTTCTGTTTCTGGAAAAATCGATATATACGTGGGAAACTTCGCCTGTGGGGCAGACAGTGCGTTACATGACATGTCGTAATGCTCCAAAAATTTAGAAGTATGCTCTTTAAGCAGATATTTTAGTGACTGAAAGAAAGTGTCAAAAGACAGTTTTTATTGGCAGGGTAGGTCAGTGGGTGGATAAGTCTTGTGGACAGTTTAGTTGCCCCGACGGTAGTACAGACTGCTATGGGACCGGTGAGGTGAGGTGAGGTCAGTACCCAATACGCAACCCGAAAAAAGATATAAGCCCGGTAAAAACGCCTAACTGCCGAAAAGAGCTAGTCAAAATAGCTAAGCAACATTTCACTTGTATAATCACTGATACAGAGAAACCAATAATTCTAACGTGTATCAATGTATAGTGTATTCACTAAATACAATTAATTGCCTCTTGCCGATTTATGACCTATTTAACAGCGAAGACGCCAAAAACAAACACGTTATACAAGCGCCTAAATTAAACCCGTAATAAAAAGCACGATAAAGATTAAACGCTTATCACATTAAGAAACTTTGCAGTGAGGGCGTGTCTTTAAGATTAGCATGCAGTTCGTTTGGTAGAAAAAAACTTGACGAAGAAAATAAACTGTAACTTGCAGAAGAAGTGCAGAATAAAGAGTAGTGTCTTCAAATTATTGAGGAGACTAATAGTGAGGGCGTGTCTTAATGATTAGCATGCAGTTACTTTGGTAGAAAGAAAAAAAAATAGAAAAAAAAGAAACCCTGTAACTTACAAGAAGTGCAGCTTTCACGTGAGGCCAGGGCATGGAAGCCTGGAACGCTCCATTCCAGACGCTACGAAAGAACGATACTCCGTAGGGGAACATCAAGATATATTCCACCATGACGACCGTGGATTCCATATCTTTAACTTTTTTGCTGTTTGTAAAATTTGTAAAGTCTCCACTGCAGTTGTTCACGAAGTCGGTTTCGTCCCATATTGAAGATTTGTTGCGGATAGTTTTTGTGATTCCGATGAGAGACAGTCTGCTTACGGTGATACACCCAAGCACGAGTATTCCAATCAAAAGGGAGAGCACGAGTTTGAGAACTTTGAGACACATGTGAGTATCTCCCACAGCACCATACACCACGTCCGCTTCGATGTTACGGATGTTGACGGTCAGACTCGGCTCGTACGAGCCAGCGTAAGCCTTCGGGGTGGGGCTCGAGGGCACCCGCCCGTTGGCCACGGAAGGCCCGCTCACGCCCGCAGCCATCCTCTTGGTCTGTGGAGGAGTGCTGGTCGGTGTGCTTCGCTCCTCGCTTATATTGGACAGCCTCTTTCCGGGTTGTCCGTTGGTAAGTGGGCGTTCATTGGTTGACATGTTGTCGGAGATACGTTTGTCGATCGGTGGATGACCCTAAATTTTACCCTAGACACCGCAAAAATTGATCTCTGTGTTTGAAAACTTTGCCGAACTCCAGCACGACTGTTCTGGACTGACCGATGCCACAGCGGTCTGATTGGCTGAGGACAAAGTCCGGAAACGCCGACACACCCAGTCGCCTCGAGTCTTTGTTCTGACGACGGTTCTGTTTACGTTTTGTCATTAGTCACACAAGACGGAACAGCTCTGCCCCGGAAAGTTTAATCTCCTGTCAAATCACTCATACTCTACTCATTTCTTCCATAGAACTAGGTCATTACATACATGCAATCGTCCACACTACGTACCGCAATCTTCCGCAGGATATCTTGCGAAACTTTGTTGCGTATTTTGTGGCTTGTTCTATTTGCAAGGTTGATCGACAACAGCAAAGTAACGTTATTCCTTTGACGGTGGAAACTATCTTTTATAAAGTTCAACTTTCTTGTGGCAGAAGAAGGTTGCCTAAGATTGCCTGTCAGTTTCTCCATAGCCCAGCTCAAGATTGTGCTCTAAAGTCTTTTGAAGCAAAGAAAAGAACGCTGTTTGTAACGACTTAGTTTGGGTAGAGATCTAGTTTGTCAAAGGTTGAAATTTTGGCCTTATGTACGATCCTATCGATTAGTCTGGTATTGAAAACATCCATAGACTCCTATGTCCTGCCCTACATGTAGCTTTTGGTAGAAGGCAGCTTTATAGCAAGCAAAAATAAAATCAAGATAATCACACGCACTTTGTCAAACCTATGCTGGGCAGAGATTATGTAAACTCAGTCAGGAAATATATTAATGAGATAAAGATTAGAAAGCTCGTTACTTAAAGACTGGTGTACAGAAGGTCGTACTAGAAACTAGTCTTCGTTGCTGTTGTGATGGTATATATTATGAGCTCCGATTTTTACTATTCATTAAACTGGCACTGGGAAATAGATAGGGTTTTCTTGATCAGATTTTTTACTTCCTTCTCAAAAATATTCTTTTTTCTTCCTTGTCACGGTGACCTTTCGTGTAACCGTAAAACGTTTTAAGCTGCTCAAACAAGTTTGTGAAAACATTGCAGTTTGTTTTAATGTTAAACCTTTTAATTTGTATGTTTCTTATGTTTGTTAAACCAGTTACCCGGACCCTGCACTATGCACACCAAACACAGCCATGGAATACAGTTTTAACACCTTGAAAAAACTGTAAGTTCTATTTTCGTTGAAAACACTTGAACTAGGTGAGGATACTTGAACTAGGCGAGGATAACACGGCACTTTTAAAGATTTTCAAAGAGATTTAGTTACGGAAAAATTACACCAATTTCACTGGCATCGTGAAAGAGACTAACTTAAAATACCGATGTCTTAAACAAGAGTCGAAGTTTCGATGACTGCCATTTTCATATCAGGTCAGTTATAATTATCTTGATGAAGATGACAGACGGCTGTCGAAACGTCGTCTCTTGTAAAACAAGTTGTTGTGAATATGACGAATTCTTGCTATTCTTTTATTCACAAATCAAACGAAAGTTTTCACGGGGGAAAGAAATTAAAATTCCTAATGATATTTTTGACACTCTTAGTCACCTGTTTTTCAAGCAAACGCCTACCTGCAGTTATAAACAGGACTAATTCTAGTTAAGTCTGGCTAACAGAATTAATGACCCTGTTTTAAGTTAAATTGTCAAGTTTGATAAACACGTTACTTGGACCACCGCTATACACACAACGATTTATCATTTATCATTTAACAGTTTACCAAACCTTACCTTTGACTCACCTTAAAAACACTTGAACTCACTGAGGATGGCAACAAAACAACTTTTATTTTAAAAATAGCACTGGAGTCGGATTTGCCTTCATCCCCAAATCACGACTCCATTTGAAAACAAATAACAGATGCAATTAAGGCCTAGCTTGAGTGAAATGAATATGTACTTAGCCTTAGCTTTACCCAGGCAACCGTTACATGTGTTTTGAGAGAAAATGCCTGGGATCTTCTGCTCAGAGAAAAAGTTATGCTGAAAACTTAACGTAGAGGTTAAAGATTCGGTAAAATATAGGTACACTGACATACTGCTACAATATTCGAAATATCAGGCAAAAAAGTAACTTGTCAAACGTAACGTAATGACGGTCAAAGTTCAAATTGAGATATGATAGACGAGCTTGATGGCCTTGTCAGTGGTACCCATGACGGAAACTTTCTTCATATTTACTTATGTTTTCTGTCTTCCGTGTTAATTCTTTAGACTTTCGTGGCTAAATAAAACAACCTAGTCTATGATTTCAGAAACTGCTATACATACATAAAATGTCAGAAAGCGCAGCTCCAAGTTTACCTACACTAACCAGCATAATTATACAGGTAGTATTTCGAGCTTTGGCTGTATGCAATATGAACGACTGGAACCTATTTATTTGCCAAAAGAGGCTGACAAACGATGGCCATGGCCGTATATATAAGTCCATATATATCATTCCTTACTCTGCTGTACATACCTTCAGAAGTTTGTATTTACTTTTCACAAGGGCGTTGAAAGGGACCTCATTGCTTTAATCCTCTCTGTGTGGAAAACACAAGCAACCATTATATTCATTGTGTGTAGCGGGGCGTGACTCGTCTTTAAATTAAACATTTCTAGTGGCAGATACATCTAAATGGGATTTCAGCATATGGATTTATTGTAGCCATTGTGTCATGAACGCTGACAATGTTACATGCCAATCTCTGTACCTCGCATCGCGGTAACCGACCTTCGAAGTGTACATTTTGTGTTATAAACACATTGCCTTTGGACTGTTGATTCAGGTGGGACATTGCACAGTAATACATGTGTTACTCATTTGGGAATGACTTCCTTCTTTCCCCAACGACATAGTTTGGTAACTCCAAGCCTTGTATTGTGCAATTTGACTGTTTAGGAAACATTTGAAAGAGGCCTTTACGGTTTTGGCTCATTAGCCAAAGCAAGTACATTTAATGGGTGACATGAGCAGCGCGCATTGATTTTTTGCCTGATAAAAAAACAGGAAATTTTGTTGCCCCCTGACAGTGGTCAATATGCTAAAAAAAATGGGTGAAGATGTCTGTTGCCATGCCGGAACGTGGATGGCAGATAAATATGAAAACAATGCTCATGTATGTCATCTATGTACTAATATTACTTACACATAATCGAGAATATAGAGAGTACATGTGTGGTGTTCACATTCCGCACTTCGAAGGCCACGAAAAACACCTGCAACAAGCGTCATCACATTGTTTAACATCCGGCTACAAGTAGCAAGCTCTGTCAACCGGAAGGTTCTTCCCAAGTGCGTCATATTGTCTCCCTATATAGGATATGTTCAATAGAACTGTCATCGTAACGACTTCCGGGGAATGTCTTCTACTTCACATTATGATACAGTTATATCTAAATTGTCAAGATTAATTTTTCTGCCTTTTCATACGACATACTTTTTTATATATAATTTATATATTGTTAATAATTTTGGAATGTTTTTCTTTATTGTTTTTTCTATGACATAAAAAAATTCATGCTGATAACTTCTCTCCTTCCTTTCTGTGTAGGGAACAAGAATAACAGACAATCTTAGAAACGTCCCTATTTTATTTGCTTTTTTCTCCTGTCCACAGTGTTTGAGTAGAAGTGTGCCGTGGACTGATTGACTCCGGGTTGTTTACGACAATTGTCACAAATCGTCCGACCGCAACTCCCTGTTTACGTCAACCTTAGGTTTACCTCCGTCAGTAGAGTGTGCGTCGAGTGACGGGCATTTCCGTACAATGTCCAAATCAGACTGTCAAAAACAAGAGAAAAGCGCTGAGTTTACAGGTTCTCCAGTGTCACTGACGAAAGATAGTGGATACTACCTGAAACGTCTGACCGTTTCCAGAATCATATCCATTTGCTTGAGTAACAGTTTTTTTGGCGTATCTTATTATGGATGTCTAACCTTGAAGATTGTAATAGGGGGCGTCTAGGTTTTCTGCATTTAGTTTGTCTATGAGGTCACTAAATTAATGTACAGGTTGAATAGGGTGGGGCTAAAACACACCCTTGCCGAAGACCGATTTCAACAGGAAAAGTTTCGCTCAGGCCATTCCTAGTTTTGACACTGGCTTCTGACTGGTTGTATACGTTTTCGATTATGTTGAAGAGTTTGCCTGAAATGCCGTTGGAGAGAAGATTGTATAGGAGTCCCTCATGCCAAATGGAGTCAAAGGCTTTTGACAAGTCGACAAAACAAGCGGAATAAGCTTTTTCCAGACTCTGTGTGTTTACCTTCTTATTTTGGATGTAATGTCTAACTTTCACTGACGGTGAGTTTATAGATCAGTGAACAATTATTTATGCACAAGTTATTATTGTTAGGGGTACAAAAAATTCTATCAAAGTATTATCTATTGTACTTTTTCCTGTGTCTTGGTAGAAATAGATTTGGCAAGATAATTTGTCAGACGTTTAGTAGACCGGAGAAGATCAGTAAGTTCCTCTGGTGTGCTAACAGTCTTGACTAGGTGTTCACCTGATGTCGTACATTTCAGTTGTATTTTAATACAGGTAAAAGTCAGTTGAGAGGTACATTCTTTTGGAACTTGTTTCCTCACTTGTACATCCATGCGCTTGTGTTAAATGTTTACAAACTTGGCAAGGCGGATTGTAATACAAATTCCACAAGAAGACCTCCTCCAGAGATTTCCAAAAGGCATCTAGACAGCAGTCCTCTTTAACTGTTTTTATTACCTTGACCGTTTTAGTCACTGTTTTAAAATGAATAGCTAAGTAAGCTGTTGGTTACAACTTGGGTGAGATGGTGGGGGGTGACCTACATTGTGGAAAAAAACTGCATACAATAGACCGACTACAAAAAACACGTGTATCCAAGAGCAAAGTGGCGTTTAACAATTATTTATGTTCAAATGGCTTTTACACAACTCCTTACGCCTCCCTGCCGCGTTAACAAGGACACAAGTGTTTGTCTACCACTCTCCGCATTCCGTCGTCAAGTGATTTACTGGGTGCCCAAAGGTCGAGAAAGGACGGGGGTATCAAAGACCTTTTTGTCACTGATAAGACCGCACGCACGCCAATCTTTCTACAATTGTTTTTCAACTGTGTGGTATAGGTCTGTTGTGTAAGAGGTGTATACATACACTGAAGGTTGAAGAATGAACGTTAGAAATAGAGACTTAAAGTTTATTAGCAACCACCGTCTAAGGTTAAGGTTAGAGTCAATGTCGCTTACAAACGTGACTGAAGTTGCTGCCCGCAATGGCCTGTCTAGAATTCTCTTGTAGCTCAAGTTTTACATTGAATACGGGACCTATGCGTTTTTTTTTTCCTGTGTCATGTGGATTTACAAAGTACAGGGGTTTCCAGTAGCAAGCAAAGTAAGTGAAGCATAGTTAGTGAAACCCTCTACCTCTAGTTGAGAAGCAGTGTCGCTAACCCCTAAACCATCTGGTGAAGTCCAGGTGTTTTGACCTATATGGGTATGCCCCTGAACTATAGGTGACCTCTCTGTTGCGGAATGGTTTATTATGACTGCCTAGCAACGGGTCTATATGGGGTCGTCGCACGTTGGGACGTTCTTTCCAAGCAGAGGTTGACCTTGCTCTAATTTTTTTACCGTTTCCCGGCAGCCGGACCTATCAACAGTGCCCTTTTAAGTAATAACTTGCCAATTGGTTTAGCGAGTTGGCTACGACTTTGTCACTGAAGCATCTGCTTTAAGATTACTCAAGGCGTTCTTCTTGATAAGTACGATGGGTTAGGTACAATCTTGTTGTATCCAGATTACCATACTTGGCCTGGATAGTTCATGCTATCTAGAGCCGTGCCTTGGGTAAATCTAGCTACGTCCTTGGATACGCACAATATACCCAAAACCGTGCCTGCTGCTAACCCTAAACCCATTCAGTCTCAGACATAGAACTAGAAAGACACGGTTCTAAAATGCAACGGTCCTCTATGGCACTCTATGACACAGAAACTTCGTCTTGCCATGTTAATGAGTTGACTTAGGCCCTGTAGATTCAATAGAGTGAACAGCATGCAACGTTTACTGACTTCACCGGCCTCCAGGTGCCTTTACGATGTTTTGATAAGGCCCGCTGCTATCAGGTTGACATTTTTTCAGCTGATTTGCTATTTGTCTTAAAGCAATTGAGGTCGAGAGCTTCATTTCCCTTGTCAGTGCAGATGCCAATATAGGATTTGTAACGTCCAAAGGTGTGTGTTTTAAAAATAATAGCAAACCGGGCCACATTGTGTTTAGATCCCCGCTATTCCAGATTATGTGTTGCTCTTGCAGAAAAGATAAGTTTTAAATTTTGGGTTGCTCCAAATATACTTACGGCAGTCAAAGACAATTTTTTTATTCCGTGTTGTTGTTGTTGATGGTGCTATTGTTGATTGTTAACATGTAGGTGTGGTCATCATGAAACTTTTTAGCCGCCTTAAAAATAAAGCTCTGTATAAAACTCCATATTTGTGATACCCACAACTAAGATAAGTGTATAATTATAAGAAAATCTATTATCATCGATCATCCTTGAATTAGTTTATTGTCCTTCTATTCTAGCATTTAAACGCAGCTGCATATCTGCGTTTAAATGCTGGCGGGTTAAAATCATAATGTCCTCATGTAGCGTTGCAGCCTTCTCGGTGCAGTACAAGTCTTCCGGAGAGGAGGCGCTGTTGTACTGGACAGTGGTTCATTCAGCCGATGGAGTTCGGATCGATATATAGATAGGTGTACCTGAAAAAAAAGTTGCAAAGCAGGCAACGACCGTGCTTTTTGCTGCAAGGACCAGGGCCCTAGACTCTACCAACTTTAAACTTCATAATCCAGTCTTTCTAAAATTAAACTGAGATTGGTTTTGGATTTTTCGTTTTCATCTTCCCAAGTGCACACCTGATTGTATCCTTATTTAATTTCACAACTTTTTTATTAGAAAAAGAGATTTGCTCAATGGTCTAGACCATTCCTCCTAACATCTAAATGAACTTGGTCCTGAGAATCATACCCTGACCTTCCCTAATCTCAACCCATCTCGTTAAACCGTTGATGTCTTTGAAGCAATTTGGCTCAGTGGACTACTTTCTACTCAATCTGTGCTCAGCGACCTTAGCTAACCTCACTCATCTCCGTAAAACCCCTTAACCACGTCTAAAGTACGCTGCTTATCCATCTCCATGGAACACTTGAACTTTGGTATTGATTGCGACCTTTTCCGGGAATGCACAGGAATGCTAATGGCATTTTGTAGACTGTCAGATCATTGCAGGGATCTACATTGCTCAACTAGTATTGCTGCCATTTTACATCTGCTTTGCATGCAGGGGCATGGAATGGGCGGCTAACTATGTTACACCAAACGTCTCACGTTTTGCTTTATATAATACCATTTTGGGTCAACACATTAGTTTTGCAGGAGCGTGGCATGGGCTATATTTATGTTTATTAAAGGAAAACATTGCTTTTGCTCTGTTTCCTCTCCTTCTTCTCCAAACCAATAAGGTCAATGACCTGAACCAAATGTCTGTCACCTAGTTCTGTGAAGCTTTCTGAAATCTTGGGCGATGAAATTTTTGCCTGTGTCCAAAAACTAATTCTGTCAATACTTCGATCATGATGTGACACCAATGAAGCTCGTTAACAGCTTTATATCTTTTTGCTCCGACAGAAAAATGTACAAACATTATCATAATTCATACATTGATGATTTTATTGCCAGATGATGATGCTAGACTAAGCATAACCAGACATACATATGGTCAACGGACTTATCACATTACCTTCTTCGTATACTATGACCAATGCATCTACTGATACATGGCAACTTGCTTTTCATCACAACTTTCGGATTGGTACTGCCATTGATACAATGCATTTAATACTGAATACAGTCTAAGACCACAGTCACACGAAAAATCGCCCAGACATTAAATTGATATACATACAGTTTGCTAACATTGACATTTAAACTATGACATATATGACACTATCCTTATCACGAATTTCTCTATACAAAGCTTTCATTACAGTCTCTATATTCAAATATGTTGACGGAACAATACGGATATTTTATTGTTTCGTATCCGAAAGCACTAAATGAGCCATTTTGCTCATAGTACTAGTGTGTTATGATCATCATGACTATTCAGTAATATCTTAAGTATAATATCTTTAGTATAGCATCTTTCGTTCAAAAAGTCCGCTGAAAAAGCGCTAAAGGTATGGACTACCCATATTGCCATATTCGTGACACCAGATAATTAACATTAAATCATTCAATTAGACATTAATTACTTTCACTTGCTGACAAGATTTTTACTTGTTATGTTATTATATTGGAATCATCCTCCCGGAGATAAATATATATTTATAACTATAATTATATAATTAATATAATACATATTTGTATAAGCATTAAAGTACTTATTCATGTAAGCAAGTACTTTAATGCTTATACAAACATGTATTATATTAATACTTATACAAACATGTATTATATTAGATATACCGGCCGTATGCAAGCTACAACAAGATCCTAGAGTCTACAAGTGATATGTTCTACGTAGTACGTCTTTGCTTGTTGCTACACAATTTCACATATCCTGAGTATTCCTTAATACATGTAAACACGCTAAAAAGGTGCACATTTCTCGTCAGTAAATGTGATTTCCTGTACTATCAGCCGTGTATGACGTTAGCTAATTGGCATAATTGGGAACGCTCTATGACGTTAGCTAATTAGCATAATTGGGAACGCTCAGGAGGGTTTGAAAACCCAGAATCTACTCATATATATTATTGAACCCAGCATTTAAGTAACGCTCCATATTTTAATTACAGTAGTGTGGACGCTATTTTGTTGTATCTAATTCTAAATGTTCGCTTCTCTTGTCTGTGGATCTGCTGACCAATCACTAATCACTATTACATATAAGTCACAACCCGTGACCTTTATTTTCAGAACATTACGTTCTACCATTTAAGGAATATAAATTCACAACAGTACCAATAACGCAAATTTCTATGTTAGCCCGTAAAGACTAAGTCTTTAATGCTTGCTTTCTTAGAGCCCTTCTTCTACAGGCCTATCTACATGTACATAATGCGTCCAAGTAGCCTTCTTGAAATGGTTAGTGCGCCGTTGTGGTAAAGCCTTTACATCCGGGACCCCATGGACATCCGGGACATCATTGACATCCGGGAACCCACGAACATCCGGGACTTAGGTGCACTTGAAGGCAGATCAGAAATGTCATCGGTTGCTGCTTGACGTTACAAAACTTGCTCATCTCTCTCTCTCCCTCATGGTCGTGCTAGTTCCCTCCACTGGACGGGTTATTGCTGCTACCTCCGCAGCTGTTGGATGAGGAGCTTTTCTTCTGTAGTGGTATTTTAAATAACAATAGCTTTAAATTGAGTTATTCTACGTACTCATTGACAAGAGAATTGTTCAAACATATTATGACATCTAAGAACTACGATATAAATGAAAAACTATGTAAATTTGTGCAATGATATGCTTGTTTCCCTACCTTTGCAGGGGACGATGTTGCAGATGAGGACTTGCTCTTTTTATCCTTCTGTAAAAGCATATATTAAGCAAGTCTTATTTCAATTACCACATTTGCCATAGTTTACTTCAACCCTAAGTATATACAACGTTTTATTCTTACTAATAGAGCGAACTTCCAAGAACTTGCAGAAGCAAATGCTATACTTTTAAAGCCACAAGTTTTACTACTTCTTGTTGTAGAATTAGGTCAAATGATTTGGAACTTATGATACTTACTCGATTTTAAAATTAACTTTTATAGTATAGGCATTTTTTTTAGTTTTCTGACATGTGTAAGATAATATTGAGCTTGATGATTAGCTGATACCAGAACTGGTTTGGAGTCATTCGAGTTTTGAAGTTACAGTCATCCTACAGCGCCCACAATGGCTCACATTATATATTTTAATTTTGGGGGGATTGTACGTATGGAAGGAGCCGCTCATCGGTGTTGAGTTTGACACTTCTTTCGTAAAATTAGCTAATCAACCGCTTTCTCGGTTTTGCCTTTAATTCATGTGGTATAATTACAGATAGATTAAATTGCCTATTTTCTTTTCAGTTTCCAGGCAAATGCGACGATATGATATTGAGCTAGTCTGGACAATCAGCTTGGCTGCTTCTTTGAATATCTATAGAAAGAAATTAGGCGGGTAACCTGCTTCGATCTTTCCCTTTCGCTCGATAACGTGGTAACTAATATGTAAAACGGCGTGTACCGGTTTAGACCGCAATATGTCTCATCAGGTACCCGATAGAGTGCCAGCAGGGCAAGCAAGAAGTGGTGCAATATTGGTGATGGCGGTGGTCCAAATGTGATATTTGGCATGACGCCATGGCATGGGGTCGAATGTGTCAGAGCAGACAAGCGTAGAGACGTGCCACTGACCCGCAGTATGTTGGCCCATTTTCAATACTGGTGAGACCTTGTGCAACTTGTGGTATGCATATGAAATGATGCATCATCTAAAGCCAGGTTGACGAGTGTAAGAAGGCAAAACGCAGGAAATACCATTTCAGAAGGTTCAATTTTATACTTTTTTCCGGGGGAGACCCCAGGAAACTCAAACCTTTGGCACTTGCTGGTCCCTAAGTAACAGTGGGAAGAACCCCCCACCCCCATTCAAAATCCTGAATACGTGAATGCACCCAGTGACAAGCCCATGCCATGGCCCCTGCTTTCTTGCGGGTTTGTCCAACTGTTTGGGATTTAAGCATCTTGGACTGCCTCATCTTGCCTGAACTACCAAGCTATATTTATAGGTAAAACCCCAACATTTCATGTGTCATGCCCATTAGTTTCTATTCTCTTATGTGTATGTCTGAATGCCTGAGTTTTGAGCAGCTATAACTGTTAGATCTTGCGTATACCAATAACGCTATCGGTTTGCCTCAAGACATTGATGTCCAAGATGCTCATTAATTAGATAGTTAAAACTCAAGCATCCCCCAGTGTTATGCTCTTGCCATTGGTCTCTAATTTCATGGGGCCTTGTCGAAATGCCTGAGTTCTAAGCAGCTATAACTGTTTGATCTTCCGCATACCAATAACGCTATCGGTTTGCCTAGAGACCTGATTTATTTCAATGTCCAGCATGTTCATCGATCGGCGGCATTCAGCGAATTACTTTTATTGCTTTTGTTCGTCCCTGCCAATACTGGCTTGATATGTGACACGTTATTACATGTATAACACTTAAGCTAAAGCACTAAAACTATTCTAAAGTATGGAGATTTTGCTAACAAATTTAACGTAGATTCGTGTCAAGAATACTGTATTCATTCTTAATGTGATAATCTACAAGAAATGCTTCAAAGTGCACGGTGTTTTAGGACATCTCACTAATGGCTCTCTATGTGTTATTCTGACATTTGGTCAGGATACGAAGCCAATAACATGTACTGCTCAAAGTCAATGCTGGAGCTACATCTGCATTTAAAAAAGTAAGGCCACACCAATTTAATTTGTTGGTTCTCGGATTTTTTCAGGAAAAATATGAAGCGACAGGGCGAAAAAAAAAAATAAAATAAAAACAGATCTAGGCATCCTATTATAGCCCCAAATGCTACGATAGGAGGTATGAAGTCAACACAAAAGGCTGGTTCAAAATTTAAACAATGAATTTTGAACTTCTAATGATACCACTGCATTGAAAGATGGAATAAATGTAACGACTAGGAAGAAAAGGACTGTTTTCAACTGTTCAGGGCAAAATATGAGCATTTTGCAGTTGATTCTGAAATTTTTTGCAAATCAGGAACAAAATGAAGAGGCGAATCCGGGAACCAACAATTAAATTGGTAGTGGCTAAG